ATTGATATGAAAATTATTAATATAAAACACTTCCCTAAGCCTAGTAAAGCAATAACAGATAACACATAAAGAAATTTGATTATCTGGCATAAAAATTGTTTATTTTTTAAAAAGTATTCATTATGGAAAGGTTACTATTGTATTTCTTTCTTTCTTTCATCCATTCATTCAATTAATAAGACTATTTGATCTCCTTATGACTTTGGAGATGTACAATAGTAAAACAATTTACAAATGTAAACAAAATAATGACAAGTTTCCAGAACAAAACAACAACAAAACAAAAAGAGCCACAAAAATCTCTAACAACAGCCACATAGTACACAACAGGTTTATTATCCACTATAGCCCAAGTCATGGATGAAAGCCAGATTTTAAGGGCTCTTTTAAAGAAGGACACACTGGGAGGCCAAATGAATTTCTAGGAATATTGTTAATGATGATAAGTCCAGTTGTCCAAAAATCATACATACATGCATACATAGATACATATAAACACACATACACACTGAAACAGAAAAGACAAGCTTTCTTAAATTGAAAGACAAAAAAGATAAGTATAAAAAGTGGAAAGGGGGGGACGACATAAATAAGGCAGAATATCAGCAAATAGCCCGAGCATGTAAAGATGAAGTGAGGAAAGCTAAGGCTCACAATGAGGAAAGGCTTGCCACAAAAGTAAAAAATAACAAAAAAAGCTTCTTCCAACATGTTAAAAACAAGAAAAAAGTTAAGGAAACAATTGGTCCATTGCTGGGAGAAAGTGGTAGGAAGGTGACAAGCAACAGGGAGAAAGCAGAACTATTTAACTCATGTTTTGCATCTATCTTTACACAAAGGGATAAAACAGTCCAACCTGTCAAAAACAGCACCACAAAAATCAGATTAGGAACACAAGTTGAAATAAGGAAGAAAATGGTAAGTGAGCACCTGTCTACCCTAGACGAGTTCAAATCACCAGGACCGGATGGATTACACCTCAGGGTTCTGAAGGAACTGGCAGACGAGATCTCAGAATCACTGAACTATATCTTTCAGAGATCCTGGAGCACCGAGGAACTACCAGAGGACTGGAAAAGAGCTGATATGGTTCCCATCTTCAAAAAAAGAGAAAAAAAAAACAGATCCAGGAAACTACAGACCTATCAGCATGACCTCAATACCAGGAAAGATTCTGGAAAAGATAATCAAGTAATTAATTAGCAAACACCTAGAAGCAAACAAAGTAATAGCCAAAAGCCAACATGGATTTGTCAAAAACAGATCATGCCAGACTAATCTTATTGCATTCTTTGATAATATGACAAAATTAGTGGACCAGAGGAATGACGTTGATATAGTTTACTTGGACTTCAGTAAGGCATTTGATAAGGTAGACCATAACCTACTACTAGATAAAGTAAAAGAATGTGGGTTAGACAGCATCACCACCAGATGGATTTGTAACTGGCTGACCAACCACACTCAACGTGTAGTCCTCAATGGAACTGCATCTTCATGGAGGGAAGTATGCAGTGGAATACCCCAAGGCTCTGTTTTGGGCCCAGTACTCTTCAACATCTTCATCAATGATTAGGATGAGGGAATAAATGGGGAACTCATCAAATTTGCAGATGACATCAAACTGGCAGGAATAGCCCACACACCAGAAGATAGGCTAAAGATACAGAAGGATCTTGACAAACTTGAACATTGGGCACTATCTAATAAAATGAAATTCAATGGTGAAAAGAGTAAGGTTCTACATTTAGGCAACAAAAACAAAATGCACAGGTACAGTATAGGTAGTACCTTGCTCAACAGTAGTAACTGTGAAAGGGATCTTGGAGTCCTAGTGAACAACCATTTAAATATGAGACAGCAGTGTGCGGCAGCTGCCAAAAAAGCCAACACAGTTCTAGGCTGAATAAACAGGGGGATAGAATCAAGATCATGTGAAGTGTTAATACCACTTTATAATGCCTTGGTAAGGCCACACTTGGAATACTGCATTCAGTTTTGGTCACCACGATATAGAAAAGGTGTGGAGACTCTAGAAAGAGTGCAGAGAAGAGCAACAAAGTTGATTAGGGGACTGGAGACTAAAACATATGAAGAACCGTTGCAGGAACTGGGTATGTCTAGTTTAATAGAAAGAAGGACTAGAGGAGACATGATAGCAGTGTTCCAATATCTCAGGGGCTGCCACAAAGAGGAGGGAGTCAAATTATTCTCCAAGGCACCTGAGGGTAGAACAAGAAGCAATGGGTGGAAACTAATCAAGGATAGAAGCAACTAAGAACTGAGGAGAAATTTCCTGACAGTTAGAACAATTAATCAGTGGAACAGCTTGCCTCCAGAAGTTGTGAATGCCCCAACACTGGAGGACTTTAAGAAGATGTTGGATAGCCATTTGTCTGAAATGGTAGAGGGTTTCCTGGCTAGGCAGGGGGTTGGACTAGAAGACCTCCAAGGTCCCTTCCAACTCTGCTATTGTATTGTATTGTATTGAGTCCTAATGTTTAATAATGTTTAATGAATGGGATTTGGAGCAGGCCATCTCTGCCTGCTTGTACAAAACAGGGAGAACTATGAAACAGCCAGTCCTTCTGCTACCATGCACCATAAAGGATATTAAAGATAACAACCAATACCTGGAAATCTGCAAAGCTCAGAAAGCATAGATGTTACATGAGCATGCCGGTAACTGCCCATACGTCTCTATTCTGGACCAGCTGCAGCTTTTGAAAGGTTTTCAGAAGCAGCCCCCATATAAAGCACATTTCAATAATCTACACACAAGCTGATCAAAGGACTGGCCAAAGGACTTGTCAGGCTAGATAAAGACCCAACTGGTAAACAACATATATTTATACAAAAGCCTGTTTATAGTAATCACTTTCCAATTGAACAGGAGCTCTGCCAAATTGTACACTAGTTCTGAAGGAAGAAGCATAGGTTTGTTCAGGAATATCACTGGTCCTGGGAGATCCAAATGATCACAGGATTTGTCAGGGGTCTTCTTGAGTCTATTCTTCCCATCTAGGCCTCCCCAAAGCCTCCAGACATTGGAAGAAGACCTTGACACAATCACTCAGTTAGCCTGGGTCTGTGGGTACAATTGGATATTATCAATGTACTGATGGTACCCAATGTCAAATGAACAGATGACCTTAACAATGTAGGTGTCATGAAAGTGTCAAACAGGCGAGGCAAGAGTATTGAGCCCTAGGCATTCTACAAATTAAACCCCTGGAACTCTACCTGTTCTCTGCTACCAACACCAATTGGGCTTGATTGCAAAGAACAGAGAGTTACTGCAACACTATAAACCCACTTTCCCAATCCCCATAAGTGATGCAGAAGGCTACTATGGTCAACGGTATTGAAAACTAATGGGAGATCGTGGAGAACCAGGAGGTTGCACTATTCTCATTCTTCTACACTAGACATCATTAACAAATGGAACAAATGTTGTCTCAATACTACAGTATATACTGGTCTGAAGCCTGACAGGGAAGGCTTTATATCAGGGATGTCAAATTGGCGGCCTGTGGGCTGGATGCATCACACGCAGGCCACACCCACCCAGCTCAACAAATGGGGAAAATATCATGAAATGTCATGTGATGGCAATTTGTTGCTGTGAGTTTGACACCCATGGTCTAGATATTCAAGTTTCTTCTGAAGCACACTGAAACTGCAATCCATCCAACTTCTCAACAACCTTTAGAAACTGGACCAAATGACTGTCTGTGGGATATAATAAGAGTGGGAAAATACCTATGTAACATCTAGTCTGATATGTTATTGTGTTGGAGTCATATCTAATTCTTCTCTATTTGCACTCTAGGAGTCTTTTCTGGCATTTCATTTTCTGAAGTTGCTCAGAAAACCAAGAAGCACTCCAGGATCAACCCACAGAGAGAACCTGTAGGAACCATCTAATCCAAAGCCCTTCCAGCCAGGCACCAAGGCTTCTTCTGAACTGACCATTAGATCCTTGGAAAAGCCCAGCTAGTTATGTAAGTACTAAACCTTCAGCACTCACATGGGAGGTCTAGATATACATCCAACTCTGAGAAGGGACTCAAGAATCAGCAGGGCTAAATGAAGCCACTAGAAGAGCCACCTCAAGATCCTATTGTTGTTAGCCATAAGATCAAACCCCATTAACCTCCATTTTGGCTCCCATTTGTAATTTGCTTCTCTTGAAGCTGACCAGCACTGTTATCAGGACCACTTTCAGGTGACAGAAATATAAGATCTTTAAACATATTTGGTGTCTGATCACTGTTCCTTATAACACCATTAAATAAATAAAAAATCAACCAATCACATCATATAAATTCCAACTTAACTCCAGACCTCCATAAATATAGTGATTCTTCCATGTCCTATTTTGGGTTATTACATCATGGCTGATTTGTATTGTAAATATTTAAGGATATTTGATGACAATCCTTAAATACTTTACCATCAACCAATATTTATTAATTGGCATTTCTAAAAATAGTAAAACATAAATGTACTATTTTGAGTACAAAAACGGTAAAAATGATTTGAAAATAGATAACTTCAGTAGGGCTGTAACCACCTCTACAAATTAAGATAGCGATGAAGAACATTCAGCTCCATAATTCTGGGTAGATTAAAAGTATATATTTGGATTACTTAAGAGTCTCTAGAGCACATTCTACTGAGAATTAATTATTGCCTACAGAATTATATATTCAAAGTCAACAAATAATCCTACTGACTATCACTAAATCAAGGGGGAAAAGATTAGTATGAGGTCATCATATATGCTGTTCTTTCTGTTCAGTTTTGTGAACTGAACTTTCTATTGCAACTAGCTGCAATACTAAGGTTTAGTTATATAAAGTTTATTTAAAATCAATTGAGCTTTCTTTATTCTTAAAAATCTTAGTATATGCCATCATACTAAAGGCTGATTTAAATATGATTTTTAGAAAAAGTAATAAGCATAATTTAAATAATTAAATTTAAAGGGTACTCACCAACTTTTTTAGCATTATATTTTTTTGCTTTCATCTTATGTGCTCTTTTTAGCATCAGCTGTGCAGTAGAAATGTCTTTAAAACCCCTAGAGAAGAAACAGTTATTCTCCACATGCAAACATAGGTGTTTGTTTAATAAGCATGCAGGCTAGTAACTTCTGGATGCTAGCAGCAGCCCTTTTGCAATACTGAATTTGCTCTGGGAGGTCTTTTGATCTTCAGGAGTGTCTTTTCGAGGAGTCGTAAGGCCAAGAAACATGCAGAGAAAATGTTAAATATGCAGAAAAAAAGTTCATGTGACTTTTTGGGTTCCATATATTTCTCTCATCCAATTCTAAAACAAAATACATGATTTTGCTGCATATATTACAGTGCAAACTATAGAACATAATTTTGATTTTATGCGTATTCAAAACATATTTTATAATCATACAGATCAGAACTATACACATCTGTCCTAACAATATGGTTACCATTAAGAATGCTGATGAAAGAATACCTAATATTCTGGCCATCATTAATGACATATACAATATTGCTGAGTAGAATAGCAGAATTATTTTATATCATAATGTGAACATATGCAAAACTGTCATCTAAACATTCTGTATAATTTCACCCCACCATTTATGATTAAAAACTAGTCATGATATAGGTTGGGCATGCTATAGGCACTGTCAGTCAAGGAATGTTGGCTAGTGGGAATCAGGAAATGCGTCTTCTCTGCTATAGCTCCGCTCCTGTGGCATATTCTCTCTTCTGGAATGGGACAACTTGCCTTAGCCAACTCCCTGCAGCCAAACTTGCTAGAAGACAATTTGCCACAGGTCAATTTAACAAATATAATAATTAAATTTATTTTGATGGAATCATGGCCAATAATAAAAAAAAAAAGTCAATCCAAAAATATAAGAATTATAATACTTTTGACAAAAATATGGTCAACAATAATAAAAGTACTGAATTAAATTATTAATACAGTGTTGAATTGTACTGAGGTGAGTTGGCCTGTGGTGAATTGGCTGTGGCAAGTTGGCTGCAGCGACTGGTCCTAGATCTGTGATGGTGAACCTATGGTACGTGTGCCAGAGGTGGCACACAGAAGCCTCTCTATATGCCTGCCCACTGTGTGCAAGCCCACTGTCGCCAGTTGCTCTTCTGGTTTCCGGCATGCCAGTTGGTCGTCGTGCACGCTGAAGCATCAGAAATCTAAAGAACAGCTGACCAGTGCACGCATGCGCACTGGCCAGCTGGTCTTCGGGTTTCCAGCATTCTGGCATACACGTTCCTGTTGGGTACTCAGTGCTGAAAAGGTTCGCCATCACTGTCCTAGACCCTCTCCCTTCAGGTATCTGGATGACCCTGAGCCCATTGGCCTTTTGCATTGTGTGACTGTGACCCCAATGTCTTAAGGATCCCATTTCCTGGCTGTATTAATATTCAGGGTAACAGTTTTACTTGGTGCCATGTATATTTATTTGTACTATTTTAATTATTTTAAACGTTTTAAAATTATTTTTGTTTTATGATGTATGCCACCCAGAATCATTTTGTTGAGATGAACAGCTATAAAAATAAAATAAATAAAATAAATAAATTTAAAAGAAAATAATAACCCAAACATACCATTCTTCTGAAATTTTTTCCTCCTTTTCAGATCGTAATGATAACTTTTGGCAGGACTTTGGCTCAGAAAGCTGTGAGGCAGTGTTTCTTCCTGACCTACGGAGAGCAAGAGCAAGATGCTAAGAAGCTAATCCAACAAGATTTAAATCTCTACAACTTTTGCTGTGCTATAAATTCCCATTATTTTCTGAAGTTAAGAAATAAAATCTAAGCTCCAGGAAAGCTTTATGCTGGAGAGTAATAGAAGTTAGAGATTTATATAAAATATTTATATTTGTACTTCAAATATATCTCAAGATGTTTTTTACAAAGAAATATAGGGTATAGTAAAGCTTTCTTTATCTTAGATATTTTTCTTTTAAACTCTATATAATTTTTATTGACTTAAAAGTTTAGGATTTGAGAGTTTAGTACTGCTATGCTTTTCTTTAAATGAGTAAAGGATAGCTTTAAAAGTAAACTGCTTAGCTTGAAAAGTTAACATTCTGAATTTGGTGTGTGCCATTTAGTTATGAACACATGTGCTTTAAATTTAATTATCTGCAGGAATTAGAATAGCAAAGCATCTAGATGTTTTCAATTATTCATCCAGTGCTCATCCTGGGTGTTGTCAGTATGCAAATAACCACAAAAAGCAACAGATAAAGCAATTTATTTGACTTACCAGTTGCTAATATCGCTGTTTTCTGATAATGTTGTCATTTTCCTAAGCTGCCGCATTTTATGGGAAGGTGATTTTAAATGAAATGTGTTGTCCTCACTTTCTGTTGATTTGTTGTACTTGTAAAGAGAGATTTTTTTAAAATCAATAATCTCACTTTTGTCTGAACATGAAATATGAAAGAAGGGCTGACTTATGTACCACTTTCATTTATTGAAATTTTTATAAGCTGCTTCTTTAGGCCAAGATAGTCTACAAATAAATTAATACTGCAACTAAAGAAAATACTAATATCAAAAAACCCACAATAGAGGGGAAAAATGAAGCTTCAACTATTTCTAAGAATGAAACTGTGCCAACACAGTCAATTCAAGTCAATCAAAACGTAAGTGAATTAGTCACTTGAAACAGAGTTGTGACATTGTGTGAATGGGGGCAATCACTTGCCTTGGGGCAATTCCTATCTAAGGTCTGCTTCTCAAAATTGAGCTTGCACTGGTGGAATAGATAGTAAGTCTAATGGGAAATATAATTAAGAGGAGGCCTCCAAAATATGCAGTCTCATAGAGAAAAAAGATTCTCAACAGCAAACTAGAATCTTTAATTTGGTACAGAAATGCACAGCCAGCCAGCTCAAATTATGTAACATAGTCAAAATACTTAGATATCAGTTGTTACATTTTTTTCATTAGCTGAAACTTCCAGGTTACAAAGTAACCTCACACTGTAACTTATTTCCATAACACATTGTTCTTCTGTGGTGGGGTTTCTTTATCTGGGTTTAATAATTAATTCTGTCTGCTATATAATTTTTTTGGTTCATATGGAATATTTCTTCACATATAAATTATGCTTTTAGGAATATGCAGCACTGTTGAATAAACTTTTTGCAAGATTTGCAAGGCATTGCACAATGTACATGGAAAATAAGGCAAATAAGTACATTAAAGTGCATGGAATAAGAATAGGATGTTTTTACATCCTAGGATGTTTACTAGTCTCTTAGGATCTGACATAAAGTAAGTTATGTGTAGAGAGACCCCTGTGAAGTCAGAGGCTTGAGGTTTTTATAACAGCTGCATCTTGCAAAGACAGGATGCATTTTAAATTTTTAATGAAACAATGGCCTCTGTAGCAGTAGAAGCAGCCCAACTGAAAACTTCAAAGAAACATCCGGCATTGTGGAACATTCTCCTATACCATAGTCTCTTTTGTTGGATCACAGCCACAGACTTTAACAGGATCCAGTCATTTTACCATAAGCTGGAATTCACTAAATTTTCCCAATATACCTATGGTGTGAGCAGATTTAAGCTGCACAGTTTACACTGCTTCTAGATCATGAATTTAATGTTTAAACATATTTGCAGTATTTTTTTTTCATTCCAGTTTATGGTACATTTACTGGGATAAGGGTCCCACTTAAAATCAATGAATTCACCCAAGGGCATGGGTTTAGAAAAGGATGCAAATCTTAACTATTTTCATAAGTGGAAAAATAATGGATATGAAGCACTACTTTCTGCAGCTTATTATCATTCTCTTACTACTGGAGGGAATACACTATATATATAGTTAGGATACACTTTAGAAAATATAATGAAAGTTTACATTTCAGTTTATCAAGTAACTAACAAATAATACAGTTCAACAATTTTTAGATGTTCTGAAAACCTTCAGCTGTTACTATATAATGTATACTTCAGTCTTTTTTTTAAAGCACTTTGTCAACTAGCCATTTTTAATCCACTGCCAAATGTGCAGCTGAGACATATCATTTTTTGTTTTGCTACTGTGAAGTAAAGTGTTGAAAGAAATCCAAAATAAAAGGGGAAAAAATTAAGCAAATCAAAGAAAAGCTACATGAAAAATTATATCTGGGGATGAGGAGGAAGTTACAGACTTCTAAAAGTAATTATGTTTCTTCAGTCAATAAATTGTGGTATTAATCATACCAAGTATAGCACGTTTCTAAGGGAATGAACAAAGGCCAAAGATGAATAAAGTTTCTGTGACATGTTACCTTTGGCGAGGGCAACTGGTCTGAGCAAAGCACTGTTTGTGAAAGGAAGCAGTTGGAATCCAAGGTTGGCCATTCTTTCTCAATGACAGCCTGGTTAAAAAAAAAGGCAGTGAAGTTAATAGTGCAAGGACAATATAAAGTCATTTTGATAACTTTAATAAAGTAGCATTTTATCTATGTTGCATGAGTTTTCCAGTATCCCTGGATCATATATTAGAATTGTCACCCATCATGCAGCCAAAACAATATGAAGTGATAAGGATTAGCATTGCATTAATGATATACTTAAAAACTTACTGTCGATTACTAATGGAGTACTTACTAACACTAATGGAGAAAATCTAGGTTCTAAATTATTTTTCATTCAGGTTTAGCTTCAGACATTGTCACAAACTGGATTTAACTCAGACAATTATCTCCTGCATATTAAAGGTGGTTTTTTTGTAAAATTGTACAACGGAATGTTGTGAAATTACACAGAATTATACAGGAGAAGCGAAAGTACGGGATTCTTATGGAAGTATTATCTGGAGAATTAATTAATTAGTTTGTCTCAAGAATATACACAGCTGCCAAACTTGAACATTGCAATTGTGGAAGGCATATATTAAAACAAAGAGCAAAACAAAACAAGATGCACAGTCTCAATTAATATTGAACAGACATTCCTAGCAGGGGTGGGTTCTGGGTGCTGCTACTGCTGGTTTGCTCAGGGACACACTGCATGCATGCACATGCACAGTACTAAAAAACTGGCTTCTGCACATGTGCAGAAGCAAAAAACAAGATGACGGCATCGTCGAGAGAACCAGTTCGATGGCATTTACTACCTACTCGGCTGAACTGGTCCGAACCAGTAGGAACCCACCTCTGATTCCTAGGCAAATAGAAGCCCACCTTCTTACCTTCCTCTGAACAGAAACTCAAATCATTGTGGCCCCATGGCTACAAAAAAACCAGCTTTTAGTATTTTTTCCTGATGCAACTGTTACTTTTTGAAATAAAATTTATTTTCAAAATTTATAAGTTGAAAATTACAGCTGTGAAATATCATAATGATTGACTTTTGAGAAGATTTACATTTTAAAAAATCCAAATGTGTTCCCTGAAGTACATATACTTTCTTCTTTTCTCCATTTTCAGTTAAAACCAAAAAGTACATACTGAGTTACAATTCCATGTATTTACCTTTGCTATACCTTTGAAATTGTAATCTCAAAAGAAGGTGCACTGGAGACAAGAAATATGTTTGTAATAATGTTTGTTTACAACATAAAAGCTGAGCAACTATTATCAAAGCATAGAAGCAAACACATCCAGTCAAGCAATGCTGGATTTACAACAGCCTCCCAAATCAGTCACTCAAATCAGAAACCCATAAACCAGAATGTTTAGGGCACTTTGACAAAGTACAGCAAGACTTAAAAAAATTATTGAAAGTGGTGGTGATGAAACAGCATAGTATAGTAACTTAAGCTTTTCCATCTGCCCAGGATTTCCTATAGATATTCACTGTATGGAAAGGGCTCCTGGCAATTTCAGAAAAGAATAAATTTTCCCACAGTTTAGGTGAAAAGATCCTCTAGATAGGAATATTCTTTAGCAGTAGCCTAATTAATAATAAAAGTATAAAAGATGCAGAACTAAATTAACATCACCACATTGCTAACATCAGATGGGAGTGCTAGTAGTGATTGAGTTCATAAATTAAGCAGATTTGGGTGTATTTGATATTGAATGGACTATTATCAGAGAATTCTAGGACTCTTGACTGGTCGGGGAAGTTGAAAAATATTCTGACAAGCCACTTTTGCATTATTGCTAATCACATGAAAGTGTCTGTAAAGTAATCAGAGGTCAGCCTCAGAGAATGTCATTTTGCTAACCTAGCTTACTGGTTAGTTCTAATGACAAGGTAACCCTTGAAAAAATATTCTGGCCACTCTGAGCAAAGTCTTTTCCCTAAATGTACTTTCTTACCTCCAAATGAATTTGGGTCAGGTTTATAATGCTTTCTCGTGCTGGGAGAAAGGCTTACATGTTCTTACTGTGTCAGAAAGAAAGATTTCCCCCTTTTTCCTAATTTTTTCCTAATTTACTTTTTTTTCCTAATGAAGACAGCCAGAAGATCAAAATAATAATCAGAACAACCATAACAAAACCCAAGAACAACACCAACTCAACTTCTTGTTTGGTTTTATCAACTTTTAAGTTATTTTCTTGGCACAGAAAATGCATCTCTGTTTTGCTTTATTTAGTTAAAAGATTTATATGGCTGCCCATTTTACATAAGCCTGGGCAGCTTATGACACCGATAAAACCAATAAATGAAAATAATGAACTCAATAAAAAGAATAAAACAATAAACCAAAACTGTGTACCCTAATTGTCCCCCTAGGCATTCCCCACAGCATACTCAGATACCCTCCTTCTATACTTCAGTATCTAAAACTTAAGTATTATAACATGGTTCTATATAACTTTCATAAAAATGAAATAATACTGTTATAAATTTAGAATATTCATAATTGGAGCAATCCAAATAGAGTAGTACATTTTCAATTCAAATAGTCCAATTTTTCAATATTTTAAGCTGCACTGATGATATAATTACCATATAAAATGAAATTATTGATGACATGATACTAAAATTTGTGTTCAAAAGACAAGGTTGTTTTTTCCATGAGCCTATTTATGAAAAAAGCTAAGGTAAACTATACTATGGGACGAGTAACGATATTACTTCGGTAGATACAGTTTAGAGAAAATAAATAAAATGAATCAGGTTTTTAATAAAGGATATAGCAAGGAGCATATATGAAATATGGAAATATATGACATGTAATTTCTCTAGCTATTGAAACAATATGACTTAAATATGTCACATGTTTTTGTACTTGAAACATTTTTAAACATTTACTAACTAAAGGACTTAAAATCAAAAGTTGTATCCCATTACCTACTTACTTCATTAAACACAAATTCATCCACATTAATTTCTTTATAGTCATCCTCAACTTCGTCAGTTTTAACAGCTGCCAAAGCGCTGGCTAGTTTCTTTCTCAAACGAAACCCTTTCCAAAGTGCCTAAACAAAAATGTAAAGCATGCTGTATGAGGCCATAGATCAAGTCCGCATTCAGATTCTCTATGTTATCCCATTAGAAAGTTAAAACATTTTAGACTCTCTCTCTCTCTTGCCTAGCAATAGCTCAATGACCTGTTTTTTGAACTTTATGTGACATTTAAAACTAGAAGACAAATTAAATATCAGCATATGCCTAGAGCTCAGAACACTCTGGAGGTTTGACTCAAGCAAGCAGAATGGAATCCTAAACTCCTTCAACTACAAACCAAGGTCAACTAATTAATTATTTGACAATTCCTTCAGGACCTACTATGAATGTAGAAAAATGTGTGTGTGTGTGTGTGTGCATATATATGTGTGTGTGTATATATGTATGTATGTATGTATGCATGCATGTATGTATGTATGCATGCATGTATGTATGTATGTATGTATATGTGTATTCATTCCATTGAAAAATAAAATACAAAGCCAAAGTGGAGGTGAAATATGGAATACTGACTTACAGTAAACATCCCATAGATGTATGCATTACTTTTATTACTTTTTAAAATACATTTAAATAATTTCTGCTACTAGTATACTTTTCAAATAAGGTTCCCAATATTTCTTTTAAAAAATCTCCAATACATTTAAACATTTTTGCAAATATTTATTTTTAATAACACCCCCAGAGAGATATACACACCATTTAATCATGTGCTTTCTAGCATAAAGCTCTTAGGGGCTCCATTTGAGAATATTTCAAATACAATTATATTGGGAAATTAAATTAAATTAAAAATGAAACACTGAATTTGTAATTCTACTGTTCTTGTCACTGACAGAACTGCTTTGCCAGTTAGAATTGCTCCTTCAAATAACCAATAAGGTTTGGTTATATATAATAATGGATTTATATTTGTATGATTAGGTAAGATAATTTGCGGTCTGTTGCAACAATGATAAAAGAAGAGTTTGTACACTTTAAGGATGAACGTTAGCAAAATGACTCAAGATTCTGGTTTGTGCATATCTCTGTGAGTGATGCTTGCTTTTATGCTCAACTAACCCATAAGAAATCACTTAAAAGAGACTTGAGTTATACAAGCCAATTACTTGTATTACTGAAAGACCACAGGAGGACTTTTCAGAATGACTTACCATAAATGCAACTTTATACTTCAGTTTGCATAAATTCAACAGCTAATTACTATTTCTTTGAATAAGTACCTTTAAATCCATTTATCTATCTGAATTTTCAAAAAGGAGAGGAGAGGGCACATTTTACCAACCTTAGCTCACTAACCTGAAGTATAGTAGCAGCTTTATGCCTATCCAAAAAATGATTATTTTTTTTTTCACAGCTGACAATCTTTCTTCTGAGGTAGTAGCTCCGCCAAGCAGACTGGATTACAGTTGCTGCTAGATGTAGCCTTGTATAAAAATTGATCTCTTTACGAATTCTATAACCTCGCCAAGATGACTGGATAATTATGGCTGCTGAGCTATAAATAAAAAACAACAACAACACATTACTTTAAACATATAGGCTGGGCCAATAATTGTACTGCATATTGCTGTTTTTTTTAAAAAATGTGGGATACTATTTGTGGAACAAATAAAAAAGATTAGATCTAACAAATATAAATGTGCTTTTACTGGAAACCAAGGACATGGCAAAGAGCCAAATTTAGTCCTTTTCTCTATGTATACTTTGTTGTGAAAAAATCTTCCCTATCATGAGAGAGAAGACTACTGAATGCAAGGAAGCTTTAATATTAGATAATTAATTCATGCAGAATTGAAGAAAGAAGTAGGGAGGATAAAGAAGACTGATGGACTATTTTCCAGGCGTTTTACAATAATGCTATTTTGCTTGATACCAAATAACTGTCAATGCTGACATTGAAGGTTAATGCATGTTACACAAGCAAACTAATTGTTAATTAAAAATAAAATGGCACTGCAAATTTTAAATCCATACATGCTAAATGCATTTTAAGGAGATAACTACTTTTTCCATATACAATATAATAATCATACGGATGCTAAGTTTGGCAGTTCCTGGTAGGATCATTCTTGCCGAAATGTTTGGAAGGCGAATTCAAACAGAGTGAGGAAAGGATACATATTATCTTCATATCTGTTAAATTTATTTAACAGCAAAAAAATGAAATGTCAGAATTGGAAGATAGGAAACTTAGAATCAGAATTCAAATCAGGATCAGAAATTATTAGTATTTGAACAATCATTTCTGATTCTGTCATTAGAACTGGAATTGATAGTTTTAGTGTTAATAATTTTAGATAACACTATTTATATGAAAGTAATGACTTTACATTATAAAGTAAAAATGAAAATATGAACTGAAAATATTAAAAACAAGGTAATGGTAACCAGCATGCTTAATGATCTCACAGCTGACATCAAAGTAATGAAGGTTAGTTTTGCATTACTTGGCTCAAGAACAAATAAAAATGAAAGTATACCAGTGAGATAATCAGGAAAACAATTATATGGAGAATAGCAATAGCACTTAGACTTATATATACCACTTCACAGTGCTTTACAGCCCACTCTAAGCAGAGAGAAGAACAGATGTAGATAATTTCTATGAAAATAACAATCAATTCAAACCATTCCCCCCCCCCAATGGAAATGTCCAACTATGAAAGAATCAGAGAGGTAAGACAGATGACTCTGAATTATGTATATGGAGATGGTTGTTATGGATACTATGAACTGCAAGAAGAATTAATCAATTGATCTTGAAAGACCAACTGCTCCCTGGAGGCAACAAGGAAAAATTCATCTGATGTAAATGAATGACAAGACTAGAAATACTATTCTAATAGAAAAGAAGTGAAGATAACAAACAAGATAAATGGGCGGGATGAAGAAAATATTGCAATATCTGTGGAAGAATGACAGATTATTATTTGGGAAAGATTCAAATGGTAGCATTTACCAAGGCAGCCTCCAGGAATCAACCTGAGTTGATGGGACATTTTTTTTGCAGCTTATTCAGTCATAGAAATCCAGAAAAAAAACAACATCTAGGATGATTTGTTTTTAATACTAGTATCAGAAAAAAAGTACATTCCTCTCATTATTGGCCTGAAGCTCATCTCTGTTCCAAATGCAGAAACTGAGTGTATACTTTTGCATCACCCAGTAAATAGCATTTGTAATAACCTGCTGCCTCAATATCAGAAAGAATATGCATAGAATGTACTCACTGAAGCTGAAAAATCCTGAAAAAGCCAATCATTACATTTCACAGTTTACAGCAGCATAAAATGCAACAAGGTATTCAAATGCAACTCAGGGTCTCTGATCTGATCATTTTTTTCTGTGCCTTCAAGTCAATGTTAACTATATCCTGCAGTTTACATGACATTTTTTGGAAATGTTTTCCTCTCACCATCCTCCCAGGGATGAGAGAAATGACACAAACTCACCTAGCTGACTTTGTATCTTATATGAGACTAAAAATTATGCTTTCTAATCTGATGCCTTAACCACGACACCAAAGGATTTCTTCATCAGTAAACTATAAGGCAAGAAGGAAAGTTAAAGTAGTTCATAAGGTTTAAAGTTTAGGACATCTCTGACTGCAGATCTGTGTCTTATCCATCCCAGATGAGTTGAGTAGCCAACTAGAAAATATTTTGAAGAATTCCTGTTAAGAATGTATCAGAATATTTTGTATGTTACCTATAAAGTAGAATCTAGGGGTGATCTATATGCTTAGACCAGGAGACAGCAAAATACTGTCTTTTCACCGATCAGGAGGATTTGTTTGATCTGAATTAAATAATTGTTTGTCTCCTTTATGGCTGATAACAGATTGCTTTTTAAGATTTAAACATCTTCTTTGATTTTTAGCCCTAGAGTGTTTTAACTATTGCAGAAATTGGTTTATGAACTAGGGGGAAAATAACTAGATTAGTGTATATTTTTCTCAAAATTAGTTCACCCTATTTTGGTAGAGCTGCTTTGTATGCAATGTTCACTCACAAGGACTAACAGAAAGCCTTAGATGTTATCACCATCAGATTAGTTTCTAATGTGCAGCTAGGTTCAAATATTTAATTATGGAATTGAACCTTACATTCCAGGAGCACCTGTGCAATATTGAATTCAAATATAAAAAAGTTACATTATCTGATTGGAAGTCATGCCTGAAACATGCCTGAACAACTAAGTAAGTGAGCTCCAAATCTTGGCTAAGTGCATCCATTTCTTCCTATCCTAATTTGAAAAGATCTATTCATCTACAGAATGTTCAATTAAAATAAATTAATAAAGAGGTGAAAGATTATTGGTGATGTTTTATGCATGCTGTTTCCCATTAAAACCTAGATGGATGAGAAAAAAATTCATTAGAAAAATTCGGAGTGTTGCTCTTAATCAGTACAGATAATACTAAGTGGACCTAAATTCAGATTTAGGATTTAGGATTTATTTCCTTTATATGCTGCCCTTTTCCCCGAAGGGGACTCAGGGTGGCTCACAATTCGGTCAGGGAAGGGGTACAAACAGGGGATAAAAAAGACGAACATAACAATACACAATTTAAAACACACAACAACCATACCATTCGAGGAGGGGGGCAAAGGCTCTTTAGCCCCAGGCCTGTCGGAAGAGCCAGGTTTTAAGGGCTTTGCGGAAGGCCTGGAGGGTGGTGAGGGTTCGAATCTCCACGGGGAGCTCGTTCCAGAGGGTCAGAGCAGCCACAGAGAAGGCTCTCCTCTGGGTAGTTGCCAGTCGGCATTGGCCGGTGGATGGAATTCGGAGGAGGCCTAATCTGTGGGATCTGATCGGTCTATTGGAGGCAATTGGCAGCAGGCGGTCTCTCAAGTACCCAGGTCCAATACCATGAAGGGCTTTATAAGTGACGACTAGCGCCTTGAAGCGTATCCGAAGACCAATAGGCAGCCAGTGCAGCTCGCGGAGGACAGGTGTTACGTGGGTGAACCGAGGTACACCCACGATCGCTCGCGCGGCTGCATTCTGGACAAGCTGAAGTCTCCGAATGCTCTTCAAGGGCTGCCCCATGTAGAGCACGTTGCAGTAGTCCAGTCTAGGGGTCACAAGGGCACGAGTGACTGTTGTGAGGGCCTCCCGGTTCAGGTAGGGACGCAACTGGTGCACCAGGCGAACCTGGGCAAATGCCCCCCTGGTCAAAGCTGACAGGTGGTGTTCGAAAGTCAGCTGTGGGTCCAGGAGGACTCCCAAATTGCGAACCCTGTCTGAGGGGCGTACTGTTTGATCCCCCAGCCTGAGAGATGGAAAACTTGGCCAATTAGTAGGAGGGAAACACACCAGCCACTCGGTCTTATCCGGATTGAGTACAAAGCAACTTGCATACGTCACCAATAATAAATTGGACTCTTTTCTTACTAAATCCTGAGAAATTGTCACATAATTTAAAAGGTGTTGTCAAAATATATCCAAAACATTTTACAATTGCTGTACAATTTTTCTGTCATGAACTACCATACAGAGCAAGAGAACATACAAAAATATATTAATATCAGTTTTTTGACAGCTATCAGATTATAGATTGTAGCCTCGCCAGCCCATCCCACACTATCCTGAAAACTTCCAAATTAATACCCATGAATTATCTTTGTCAGAAATGTTATTTCACCAACTAGATTAATTTCTATAGTTTTATATCAACAGTAATCTTAGGAAGATAACAGATACAGTTAAACCACACAGCTCACCATTTTGGTATAGGTGTTACCAGGAATGCAACAAAAAGAACAGTCATAGAGTCAGGGAAAGCCCTTCAGGCTAAGTAGCAGAAGAATGACTAATAGCAGCATGCAACAGTACTCATATTATGTTACTTAAATCTTCTTCAAAAGTGTTTTATGAAAATTTATAAGATGCATGACATCAGCAGAAATTCACCATAAATAGCTCACCTAAGGAGGATATGTATATATTTGTGAAAATGTTTTAAATAAAATATAAAAAAAACCAAGAGGCAATACACTATAGAAAAATACTGAGAAACAGAAAATAATAGAAAATACTGAGAAAAACTTTTGTTTTTCTTCTTCCACTAATAGGTAAACCAGAATTCTTGAAATGATTTAATACATATAAGTTTCATTCCATCCACAGTATAGAAGACAGTCCTTTAAAATTGATAAATTCATTTTATGGCAGTTATATGAAAATAGGTTACTGAATAATTATAAATCTACTGTCCAATAAGACAGTATATTTTGGAGGTTTGAGATTGGAACTTGTTGTGCAAGTAAAATTCCTAAATATTGCTCATTTTCATTAATTATATTTATTTCATATTTCACTTCTTTAGAAAATGTCTCAACAATTCAAAATAATCTTTCCACCACTTATAAAATTAATTTCATTCAAATGTCAAATTTATAGGACTCTAAGACAAAATGAATTAAAAAGCAGTTGATTAAAGACTATTCTGTTTGTTAGAATACTTTGGGACAGAAGGAAGTAGTACTGAGATTGAAGAAGGAAACAGAAGAAAAACCCAGAGAAACATGATCTTAAAGACTCTCTAGGTTTTTGTGTATGCATGTATAAATTTCTCTTCTATTGGAAGCACCAAAAAAGCTTAGTGGTTATGCTAGGAATAGCCTTTGGAACATACATCATTGTTTCTCAACCTTGGCAAGTTTAAAACATGTGGACTTCAACTCCCAGAATTCCCCAGCCTGCTATACTTCAAGAGATTCAGCTTCCTAAATGTTTCAAGGGCAGGTGATGTTTATGCCAATAAGCTTTTTGAAGGAATGATTTGCAATGCACTGAATAGCCTAATGTTTATAGATATATTCTTAGTACAATTAGTATAATTATGTTTATACAGAATAAAGAAAGAGTAGAAATAGAAGACAACATGGTAGTTGCTTTTTTCTTGCTTATGGTGTGCTACTCACGTTTCTATTATTACTGATGTGCTGTCAAAGTAGGTGTACAATATATGTACTTAGTGATGATGCTGTCTGTTTTAAGATTACACAGAGATACAGTTATATTTCCATAAAAAAGCTTGACCCTTTGATCTTACTTTTGTGAATTGTCAAAATGTTGAAGGTAATTTCCTCTTTCAATGGCTGTAATTTGCCTGTTGAATTTGTTTCTCTTAGGGCTGATTAATGCATTGCTTTCCTCACTGTCATTTGTAGAATATTGAGTATTCTTTTGTCTGTATACTTGATTTTCATCTGTTTCTGGAACTGTCATGAAGGAGTTAATAGGCTCAGTGTGAGTATGGCCAGAAGTAATCCATCTTTCAGGCATATTCAGCAAGTCCTGCTTATTTTCTTTTACACTCGAGGTAAAGAAGTTATTTTTCTCTGTGAAGTCTTGTGTCAAATGATCTGCCTGTTTTTTTGGTTCTTCTGTCTTTGTAATGTTTAGAACTCCATACTCATGTGCATAGCGATGTTCAATACTAAGTTTCATCAGTTTTTTTAGATACCAACACTGGAGCTGTACAGAGTCTTCAGAAAATTTATCTCTGGAAAAGGAATAGTTAAAACATATCTATTATTATTTATTTCAGGTATGCTGCTCTCCCAAAATGGTTTATAAGATTAATAACATATAAATGCATTACATACATATTAGCTAACAGTTTTTCTAAATATATCTTAAAATAATCTTATATCTTAAAATAATAATAATAAAAAATCAATATATCTTAAAATACAACCTTGGTGAAATATATATCACATCACTTTAGAGAGCTTTACTGATAGAGTCTTATATCCTGTACAAGCCAGATTAGTTGCTGGTTTGGGTGGATTAGCAAGTAAGTCTTTGACAATATCTAGAAAAGAACTTGCTTTTGGGATCAATCTGTTAAGATGGCGTTGTAACTCTTCATTGAAAATGCTGCCAACTTTGAGGCATCTATGGGATATCACAACACATATAGGAAAAAATGCTGCTGATGTCTGACATTCTTTTTCTTACACCTCTCCTCGGTGCCACTGATGTCCATTCAAGATTAACGTGATCTGATATAAAATTCAGCACTAAATATTATTTAATTAGAGCATTAAATATTATATTATATAATATTTAAATGCTATATATTTATTGTTATGAATTAGATAATTGTTTTATTTCAAACAAATCAACACATCTTCATTTATCAGGAAAGCATGAACAACTTAAATACTATCTATTATATTATGTTCTCCAATTTAAGAGAGAACAAATGATTGTCTTCTGAGCAGAATGCTTTGCAGAGAACAAAATTCAGTTGAAAGTGAGAGAGAGACACACACACACAGAGGAAGCATATGTGTGTTATATCTCTACCAAGAATAAATGCCATGACAACAATACAGTAATATTATGTAATTCTATATAACTGGGTGTATCTCCTAATATTCTTATTGCTCCTTTTTTCTTGTAAAAAGCCTTTAAACTTCATAAAGAGTTTTAATGTTTATATTTTTTCAGTTTCAATTCCTTTTATAAGCTTTTTATGTCATTTTCACCTGTTTAAACTGTAACCTTTTAAAAGGGTTTCAGCTTCCATTAGGGTCTTTTATTTCCAATCCTCTGTACAAGGCCTGTTGAAAGCCAAAACACTGAAACAGAAGTACATTTTTGCATAGCTGTTTTCAAGTAGGTGTTGGAAGATTAACTGACAGACCTTTATTAGATCTGAATAATTTTTAAAAGCATATAATTCTTAAACAAGAGCAAGCTTACTTTGTGTGAAATCAGGATGGAACATCCTAATTTAGCTATACACCTCTGTTATAAAAAATGACTTAATGGCTATGATTATATGTGGCAACTTACATACTTCAGGTTGTATCTACATGGCCTCATTTACTTACAAACAGCCAAAATGTTTATGGGGCTTCATATTGTTCTTTAGGAATATAATATTAAGGCTACAATCTTATAGACTCTTTTTAGGGGGGAAAAATCCCATTGCACCCTATGGAAGGTAATTATTAATATTGTTGTTTCATAATCAGCGAGATGTTTATACTGGATTTGACATTTTTATCCACCTATTGAATCTTTCTCAAAGACCTTGGATAGGCAGATGTTGTTTGGTGATGTTAAAAGTATTGTAAGAGCTGTTTCAGGTAAAGCTCATTTTGCAATTGACTGGTGGTGATTTTGTCAATGCCAATGGTGCTCAGGACTGCTCCAAATATTTTGGGATTGTATCCAACGATTTATTACTATCAGTATCATTGCTTTCTTTTGCCATAGTCATTCTACTTCTATTTGTAGATTTTTGTATTTTGTGTTTTTCTCCAGGTACTGAACGTCCACCAACCATTTTTTTCTTTCTTATCAATAATAGTTAAGTCTGGGATATTATGTGGCAAGTGCATGTCTGTTTGAACTCTAAAAACTAGATTACAATTGTTATGGTTCATTGCATAGTCAGACAGATGATTAAACTGAATTTGACATTTTATTCACCTATCTAGTCCTTTCTAAGGACCTGGGATAAGTGGATATTATTATATTTATATCCTGCCTTTTACATATACTCTATAAGTCAAGGCAGTGAGCACATTTCATTAAAATATACACACCCATATTTTGCTTTTATTTTATTTAGGATCACAGCCTTAATCTTTGCTAAATTCATTAAGAGCAAATTTGAGTACAGTTTTGAAAAAACATAGAAGCAAATAATCTTGGTCACATTTTTGAATGTGCTTCTTCTAATTTCCAAATACAATATATTTACAACAATGATTTGCAATTAACACACATATTCTACTATAAAACTCAGATTATTTTTTTAAAAACCCTAGGAGTTCTTGTACGACATATCACAGACATGATCTCAAGAAAAATACTAAAATTAAACAACCTAAATAGCTTCTTATTACCAAACTGCCACATAAAACAACATCTCCTTTATTGAAATTCAAATCTACTACTGTCAGCTCTTCAAGATAGAGCAGATTAGGAAACCAATGCCAAGTAAGTCAGTACTGTTTTCATTGTAAACTTCAGTAATGGAATAAGCTTCTCCTCCTCCTCCATTTATCTTTTTGTGAATTAAGGAGGGGCTTGTCTGAGATGCTTATTCATATTACATTCTTTCCTGAGGCTCAGGCTCACTTTATCTAACTGTTGTCTTGCTAGCAGTTCTTCCTCCTGACACTCACAGCCATTGCGTCTGCCATTTATAATTATGAGTATTATGCAGAATGATATTACAAGAAGTCTGAAATGTTTTAAGTAAGCACTTTATGGGTATCTTTATGGATTTTTCAACAATTATCTGGTAGTCATCTGGATTTTTTGGATCTAGTAACTCTACTTAAGTGGTGCAGTGTTTAAGAGTGCAGTACTGCAGGCTACTTCATCTAACTGCTAGCTGCAGTTCGGCATTTCAAATCTCACAGGCTCAAGGTTGACTCAGCCTTCCATCCTTCCGAGGTGGGTAAAATGAGGACCCAGATTGTTGGAGGCAAGAGGCTGACTCTGTAAACCACTTAGAGAGGACTGTAAAAGCATGGTGAAGTGGTATATAAGTCTAAGTGCTATTGCTATTATTCAGCTTCGGCTTTCATTCAATTTGTACATTTGCTCTTGCGTGGTCTATATAGACACAGTACATTTACACATATAATTGAACACATAGGTATTTCATACCTATAATATGCAACATATAGTAGTTGCACGTATTACAATATTCTTGAAATGTAATATAAAATCATACTATTTTGCATCATTTCATATCTTACTTTTGTCCTATATACAGATTTAGCACTAATTAAGCTCCTTAAGTAGGGTTACTAGATTCAAAAAATCAGATGACTACCAGATATTAGCAAAAAAAAAGAAAAAAAAAGCAATCCATCTATTTTCTAATATCTAGGAGTTTTCTGGATTTGTGTAGTTAAGATTGCACAAGCCTTCATTAGGAATCTTTAATTCAGTATCCATGTAATTAATTCTAATGGATTAGTGAACATAAACAGTAGAAATCAAGAAAGATTACTTCATTTCATATAAACTCGTGAAGGGTATTTCCATATGATCAGATTTCTACATTTAAAATAGACTTTCATCACTTTTCTGCCGTACTGTTATTCCAATGTATATATTGTTAAATCAATAATAAGTATCAAGGAACAAAACATTTGAAAATTAATTTCTTGAAATTAATTGTAAATACTTACAATCTAGTTGTGGCTTTTTTGTGGAGTGATATAATTTCTTGAATTTGAGCTTGACAAAATGCTGCAAACGTTTCTGACCTCCAGGTTTTTTCATAAACCTTTTCTGCACCACAACTTACATTTTCATCATTAAGTATTTTCAAAGTGGGCAAATATTTGAGTAAGGAGCATCTTTAAAATGACATAGAAACCATAACTTTAGCACAAGTTAGCTTTTTGAAACATGTTACATAGAAAATCTCTGACTACAACCTCAAAACACAAAGGCTTAACTATATAGAATTTGGCATTTTAAGAGGAGAAGCACAATGGGGTTAAACACTGCTGTGAATGCTTGCTTCTCCAGCTGAAACTGGCACCTTGATGTTGGAGCTAGTCCAATTATTAAATAAACCCTTGTTTGTTTATGAGATTTTTGTATATCAGGTAACTGAAGGGATGTCACACAGAAGAAAGATACAATATGTTCTCTATCATCTCAGATTGCAGGAAATGGGATAATGTCTAAAGTTAAAGGAAAACAGTTGAAGATTTTCCTTATAGCAAAAACTCATAATGGAACCAATTAACTAAGGAGATGGTGGACTCCCCTTCATAGATATGTTCCAACAGATGTTAGTTAGACATTTGTTCAGGATATTTTACATAGGGTTCCTACAGATGATACAAAGTGAGTTGCATTTGGTGGTCTAAAGAACTATTTCCAATGATGATTCTGTAAGGATTAAGTAAAAACAACCTTCCTCACAGAGTCAATAGCAGAATGCCATCCAGAAAAAGGAAATGGAAAAAACTATAATCCAGTTCAATATATTTCATGGAAAGGATTTACAGATTATGGAATATTTTCTTGAACTAAACCCATTTTACCTCCAGGCTAGCTTGAATAGACTCTTATGCCAAGTTTTACAATCAATTATCAAAGAAAATTTAGAAAAAATCTGGCCAAGAATTCCAGATACTTGAATAGAAAAACAAGCAAATATTTAAGCCTCACAAAGTTAACATACTGAATTCAAGTTTTGGCTGACTCATATACCTTGTTTCAATGTATATCATTAGAATCATAACTCCAATTTATATCACAAAAAAAATATAAAATCTGCATTTCCTTTTCACAAGTGCATACATGTTAGATGGTAATGTTAAATGAATAACTGTGAATATGCTGTCTGGAGATATTGGAGACAATGTTGAATAATGAGATATTCAAAAGGTGCCATATCAAGTTGATTAATGTTGGAAACCATGGTTTCTTAGAGCCATGGGATCTTAGATCTAGTTTTTCCAGCTGGGTTTCTGCTAGTGAGGGTTGAATCAATATTTCATTTAGTGAAAACTTCCTGGTGAATATTCTGTCACTTAAGAGGTTCTATTAATCATTACTGCAATGAAACATATTCCCCCTAGGAATGCTCAAACAGATCTTAGGGTTTAATTTCCAAAAAGTGATTTCTCAGTACTTCAGCTTCTTCAGTGTTATCACTGGCTGGACATGAAAGTAAGAAACCAATTGGGAACTTTTATAAGTAATTCCTTTGTTGGTATCAGGGGGTTATGTAAAGTTCATTGAAACATATTGCTTGCAGTTATTGTCAATGCTGAATTCAACAAATCCATACTTTATAGTATCCCATTAGATAAATTAATCTTTCTCTGACCATGAAAGCTCAAATGGCCAAGCAATGTGGGAGGATCTTGATGACCCTGGAATTTCAAGAGTTATTTTAAACTGAACTTAGGTGGAATAGCAATTATACCCCAAATTAAGACTACATCAAATTAAGAACAATACACCAATTTAAAAACAAAACCAACTATTTCTCTTTTGTTACTTGCGAGAAATTAACAGTATTTAATGGAGAAGGATTTTTGATCCCATGGTATAAAGGCTTTCAAGCTTTATTTAATATTTTCTAACTTTGCAATCAATAATGAAATTCCTAAGCACATATGCACAGCTAAAATTACTAAGTTTAGAAAAATAGATTTAGAAAAATAAAAAAAAACTATGTTAGCCAAGCTCAATGGGGAAAAGAGATAATGGAAAAACAATCCAAAAGTTTGGAAGCATAAGTATAAACAAACTGTAAAGCTAAATGAGGAAAATGGCAGAAGACCAATCCAGCTGCAAAAAAAGAACTTTGGATTATTTGAGAAATGAAAATGAAAATAAACAGGAACTGAATACAGGGCAAATTATTAAGAGTAGATTCTATCTATGATTACTAATGCTTCCATTTAAATACAATTTGTAGAGAACTTAAGGCTGCTAATCATCTGACAAGTTATATTTCAATCTTACTAGTTAATACTGAACTAGACAGAAAATACAAAAGAAGGCACGGTTGTAGCAAAACATAAATGCATATTCTAAGCATTTTAAAACTCAAAATGAGTTGATTTCTAATTCCAACTTTCTACCTTCTGCAATTAGCATAGCATCCTCCCCCTGCCTACTCCCCCTAAAGAAAAACACAAAGGAAGAAAATAAATATGAGATGTTGAAAAAGACAAATGTATGATTATTCCAATCCAAGATTATGTTGAACAGCTATCAGATCAGACTGAGCTAAAGTAAATATAGGAGAGTGAAACTATTATGAGTGCATTAACAAACATGCATATTAAGTTTAATTGAGAAGAAAATTAACACCCAAATATGAACAAATCAATGAATAGAATATGGAAAATATGATTAAAATGGTATAATTTTAAAATCTTAGGAAACAAAACAAAATAAATGTATAGAAATCCAATAGAAATTAAAATTTATTATACATATTTAATACAATTTGCACTTAATTTATTTAAAATATCCACCCAATCAAAGCACAGATCAAACATACGGTAAGTTGTTCCAACCTTCTTATTAACAGAGAAGAATAAAATATAATTAGTATGGAAGCAAAACAACACAAATATGAATTCTGATGATAATATGCAGATGTAGTTTCTAAAGAGGGAAATGTAAATAATTCCATGCAATCTACCATTAAGTATTTAATATAGTCAGCTAACAAATAAAAGAAATGTAAAATAAACCCCTTGCCTTTTCTGTAGTTTGCACATGTTGGTAATTCTAAACTATCTCCAGTAATTGTAAATTATAGTTATAACAATAATGTGAATTAATCTGCTCTCATTAACACTTCAGAACTATTATATACTGCCAGTGATAGAGTGCTGAAACAGAATGAACTCATTCCCACTGAAATAATAAGAAAACATGGTCACTAAACATTGATGATGTGTCATTAAGGAATGCTCATTTCAGTTAAAAGTAAATGCAACTGATATTTCTTCTATCTTACAGGACTAGCTTGGTTTGTGATAATTACTGTAACCAATCATAGCTGGTAACAGATTGTTATATTTCACCTTCAATTCATGTTTTATCCTAAACCTCTTCAGAAAAAGGCTATTGCTACATCAGATCATCATGCTTTTACTCTTATCTTTTTTTCACCATTTCCCTTTTATTTTAACTGCTTTGTGGCATCTTAAAATTCCAGGAGAATTTGATGGGAATTTATGAATGACCAAAAAAGTTTACTCAAACGCAGTAATGCCCCTCCAGAGCAATTTTTCTAAGGTATTGGGGAAAAGGCAGGGCTTATTATCATGTGTTAAAGAATCATGGCTGCCATTTTGGGGATCAAGATTCCAAGAGTTATTATCTTTTCCAGGATTTGAAAAAGTTTGAAAATCCTGATCAAACCTACTTCTGTAAAACATCCAACAAGTGAAAATATTGAGGAAGATGAAAAGCCTTTCTCAATGTTTGTCGTATAATGTAATCCATTATTGGAATATTAATAGAAATTAAATAATACCAACATTGTTCTATTAATAAGTATAATAAGTTTAATGATATTATTAAATGTTATATAACAAAGCTATCCATATGTTTATAAACATATATCTCATATCCCTGTTTCTCTTATCTATTTACCTCCAGCTGTCTTCTTGAAGAAGAGGATTTCCAAGTAGGGATAGTTCCATTAGGCTATCACAGCTGTCAAGGCATTGAATGAGAGTCTTCATGTCTGCATTTGTTAAGAACAAAACAAATATCAATAATTATAAATATATTAACAGTGATCACACAAATAACTATCAAATACTGAATACAATTAAATCTTTATGTCTAGGAACACTCTTTTAAGCGTCTTTAAAGGGTAATGAAATGAAATCCCTAAATTTTAATTTAGTATACTGTATTCCATTCTAATAACACTGCAATCATTGGAATCGTTTTGGTCAAAATTCAAAATGTAATAAATGACACTGGAGGATTCTAGATCCTAATTTGGCTATATTTTCTGTTTCAAATTTAACATTCCATTATATAGTCTTCTTTTAAAAATCTGTTGGAATCCTAATTGTACATAAATGCTTTGAATACACCATTTATCTTTGAAATACTGAATGTTCCCCCTTCAGACTCTTTCTTCAACTGACACATGTCATTCATCAAGTTTGAAATTTATGTAATCAAAAAAAATTATTTAATCTACATCAGAATGGATAATTAAACTTAGAAATAGGAATGGTCTTATAAGCTGAACAATATATTTTAAGATGATTATGGGGTGAAGAATGAATTGTGGAATAATCAGAATAATTTCTTCCACTTTTAAAATATTTGGAATTTGGAATTTATTGCATTTATATGCCGCCCTTTTCCCCGAAGGGGACTCAGGGCGGCTCACAATCCAACCATATTCTTAAACAGTATTAAATTTTAACCTACATAATTATAGTTCACAATATACAAGGACTATTAGCAAATATGGAGTTAAAAAGGATTAAAAACCTTTGGCTCAAATCCTCTTAACTGTAAATATTAGACATTATAGAATACCGGTAGTCCTTGACTTAAAACCACAACTGGACCCAGACTTTTGGCTTTAAGTCATTGTAGTCAAAGGTTGAAGCACCCACATGACCAGACCTGACTTTTTCCAATTTGTTGACTTTTTTTATGGCGGTGGTTAAGAAATCATATAGCTATAAGTCATTAAACAAATCCATTATCTTGAATGGGTGTCTTTTGTCAGAACCATTAAAAAAAATCACAAATCATGATCACATGACTGCAGAATGCTGCAGCTCGTCATAAATGCAAGTCAGTTGTCAAATGCTCAAGAAGTGGTAATGTAGGAACACCACAATGTTTTATGATGGTTTGAAGTGCTTTACAGGCCATAAAGCACTCTTTCCAAGGCCTTAACTTCAAATGAACATTAAACAACTGATCATAGGTTAAGGACTACCAGTAAACATTGCCTTGGTTAAAGTTAACAGGAATGCTCACTGTTAAAAGATGAACAACATATGAATCTGGCTGCAAAACTGAACTTTATATATAACAGAAAGAGAAAAATTAGCTTTTAGTCTTTTTTTCATATACAGTATATCTTAGTATTCAAACTCACATATGGTTTATAATATGACATTGGAAACTGACATTATTTTTTCCCATTTATCTTGCAAACTTACCTAGTAAGCAGTTGTTGCTTATATTTAGTTTTTCCAATGACACATACGAACAAAGAGATACAAGTTGTGTCAAACTAGAAGAAAAAGAAGAAATAAACCAAGAGTTTTATAGACATTTGTGCTAAACCTACCCTCTAGGAGCTGGCATATAACAGGCCAAATGTAGCTAGAAGTCAGGTAAAGATTCATCATCTGTTACCAACTTATAAATTGCTTGTTAACTGCCTTAAATTGTGGATATTTCCTTTAAGTAGCAAGGTAACATTTTTCAAGGTGCCAGCAATTGGTAAGAGCTGCAGCTTTCAAATTAAGAAATGAATGATTTTCCTACAGATGAATAAAGGTGTTCCATAGACTAGAGGAAAATGTTCTTAACTAAAAAAAAAAAAAATGGCAAAGATTGAAATAATTTATTTTACTTGAATAATTAGAACTAGTTTGAATGGCAAAATTTGACAAAGTATCCTGTCTAGGTTTCTACACAGCGTCTTTCCTTATGTTGCCTTTTAAAAAATTCTACCAGGCAAAAAATAGAAATAGAAATAGGAATGGAATGGAATGGAATAGAATAGAAATACAAAGACAGACAGATAAAGGGTTAGGGATAGATGTAGATTGATGGTTTACACGCACGCACGCACGCAGGCACGCACGCACACGCACGCACACACTGCAATAATGTACTTTTTCTTCAAGGGATTTTTTTTTAAACAATATAACATCCCATCCCCTTGTGTATTCTTAGTCTAAAAGATGAAAGAATTTATCTTTCCACCATCAAATACTATTGATTGGTTTCCTGATACTAAATGAGTAAATGGCTTCCCTGACATACTAGTATTTTTTAGGAAGACTCACAAAGTATAACTGATTCTTATGAAATAAAACTCCAATATACATTAATTTGATTAAATCTACCTTATGTCAGACAATTCCACTTGCCCATTTGCCTATTACTGGCAGTAGTTCTTCGAAAAGTTTTAAATAAGCAAGTTAAAAACTAATCGTGTACTATTCATATTTGTCATATTAATACCACATATTTTACTTACCACTCGACTTTGAAAGCCATCTTATTCATTAATTTTATTTGATCTTGTATTTTTATATTTTTATCATCATCTTTCTTTTGTTTGTTCCTCTTAAAACCTGCTGATGTATCAAATTTTTAGTTTTCTTGATACATCAATTCCCTGTAAAAGATCTTCTAAAACCTTCACCAAGTCATTTGCAAAGTTTCTCAATTTGTAAGTTTTAAAAAAAGAAATAATCTTAATGTTCATAATCCTTTCATCTTGTCTTATGTTTCAATTCAATATTTAAAGAAAAGAAGAGAGTATAATGGACAACCTTCTCTTGTTGAACTACTTAAGATCACTAGGGATTTTTTATTTCTATTGTGAAGTATAAATTTATTTTATCCATTTTATAAATTCTCTATAAAATTCATTTCTTCCAAAAGTTTGAATAGAAAGTCCAATTCAAATTGTCCAATTGGATACAATTAAGATGTTCAAAATATTCTAAAATATCTAGCACAATTCCAAATTGTCTTTTAATTATTTTAGATAAAAACCCATATTATCTTCATGAATACATTCTTGTAACATTATTTACAGTCTATCATCTAGTATCATTGTGAATAATTAAAAATAATTCAATAGCTATACTGGCCAAATCCTGTCACTCTTTAGGTATTAAAGCTAAACTTGCTAAATCATCTAAGTGTTGAGCATCTTTCCACCATTAAAATAAGATTAATCATATTTTGCAAAAGTTGCATAAATTTATCCTCAAAACATTTATCATAACAGAATATCATGCTGTTTATTCAAATCTCATCACATTTACTTTGATGGGAAATGCTTATCTTCACTGGACATTTCTTTATTTTTTTTCTTTTTCATCTCATTTAAAATAGTCTGTGTTTTCTATGGGCTGTTCTTTTTAAAACTTTAAAATGAAGAATTAATGTAGTTATTACTAATAGCTATACAATATATGTTTAGTAAAAGTAATAATCAGTCAACAAAAGGCCTCAAACACACACACACACTCATCCTTTTCTACTAGCCCACATATAGATTTCCAAGATATTTAATACAATATTGGTGAAGTAAATACGCATGTTTTTAATCTGTTCAACAACAAATATCTCCATACCTAGGTACCATAAGGCTTGAGCTCAGGATCACCTGAAGGGATGATGACAAGACTGAATAACTAAATTTAATTAAAGAGACACCTCCACACAACTAAATATAGGGTAGAATTAATTAGCTTGGACAGGTACATAGTTTTGTTATGGCAGTTAATGCTATCCCTTTTAAGTGCACACCTAACTGAAAACGAATTATCAATAAGATAAAAACACTTTTAAAATGTTTAACCTGAGTACAAGATTTATAAATCTGGAGCACAGAAATCATGAATAAATGTAAAATCCAATTTATAGGAAAAAAGATAACAAAGAAAGCATCATAACAGATGGCAGTATCTATCTGACATTGACTAGTCTCCAAATAGGGTTCAACATGGTTAGTATTTGGGTTGGCGAACACCAGGGCATTTCAGGGCTGAAGACAAAAATGTGTAGTTGAAAACTTACAAAGAACAAAATGTCAAATTGCTTCTATATTTTGCTAAGAAAACATTGTAGATAAAAGCATGATTAACACAGATGTATCTGTGTAATCTACATGGGCCAAGCTCAATTTAAAATAGCTGTAAAAATATAATACTACATAGCCGTAAAAATATATAATACGATATAAGAAAATTATATACCATTTATTTTCATTTGACAAATCTATGGAAGAGAACTGCAACTAAAGAAAAACGCAAACTTCTCCAAAGAATAGTTATTCCAACAGGTTGCAAAGCAGATAAAGAAAAAGAGAGGAGACATTATATTGCTTCTTCAGCCACATTTGCCAGTCCCTCATTTGAAGTTTTCCAGTCTGACACCTCCACAGGTTACTTGATTGTTTCTCACATCAAATATTATGTGTTTGCTTTTTTTCATCCCACTCTCATCTTTTTCTTGTGTATCAAGTCTTTTAATTTTAAGCCCAAATCTAGGCAGTTATTATTCTAAGTAAGTTTTGTTAAAAATGGTACAACTTTTTCTTACCTCCAATTTGCAGAATACACATAAAGTTTAAAATCACTTTCTTTTGATTTTCTGCTAACCCTTCACTGATTTTCTCAGCAAAAATAACTCAGTAATGAATTATCTGCTTAAAATATATTTAAAATTCATTCTTATGGGTAATTGTGAATTCTGAAAAGTAGATTCTGGGAGGTGAGGCAAAATACTATTGCTATTTTAAACTAATATTTAGTTTTTATAAATGTTACTACATCCCCCAAATTTGTAAAGAGAGAAACTAATATAAATGGAAAACTATAATTATGGAAGATAGAAGCTTTTTGTAGAGGATAGATTGCAAGGCAATATTTGTGAGATGTTTCGATACAGGTCAATTTATTCTTTCTTTCCAAATGCTATATTTATTCTGCCAGAGTTAAAAATTGCAGTTTGACAGTTTATAATTTTGAACAGAACAATTAATGGTAATACTCAGCAATGTATTTAATGAAGGACATTCATTACTAAAAATTCAAATGATGGCTATAATGAATTATAGAGACTTAACTACTTGGAGCAGTTTGGCAGCGGACAACTCAAATTTTGATTTGACGCTGTTCCTAATCACTATTCAAACATATTTTATGGGGAGTGTACTACTTATTTGTAAAATAAGTATTGTCTATACAGTAAAATTATAGACCAAGATAAAATAGAAGAACTTAATTTGAATAACTATCTGCTTGGTAATTTCACATCATATATTACATTTTAGTAATGGCATTTAGAGTAGTATGATGTAGAAAACTCAATGGTTAACCTGTTTTTTAATATAAAATTCATATTGTGTGCTCTACCTTAAATAATAAGATCCTTTTCAGTTTGTCATTCTATAGTTTCCTTTTCACTGGCGGTCTTTGTCCTTTTCTTTTTTCTTTTAAAGGAAAATTCAAACCAGAAAAACAAAAGGCATTACAGAAAACTTAATACCACTTGACCTTGTCCCACTAGCCCTGGGCTTTAAAAGGATATAAATTACAAAGACGACACAAAACCAAAAAGATATTTTTAAAGAATCCAATAGCTTCCTTTTTCTGGTATCATTTAAACTCAAAGCACTCACAAAAACTGGACAGTTAGCAACACAAGTATAAAAAAAGTAAAATTGAAATATACTTGAAATTACACATATGCAGAAGAGAAAAAAGAATGTTTCTTAAAGTCTACAATAAACATATTAAACATGCCCTGGATCCAAAATGCAATTACTGTTTGCCTGCTTGATACCAGCAGGTTTTCCATGATACCAACAGATTTTTCTTCCAAAGAGTGAAGTTAAAACATTAGATCTTTGAGATGAATAGAATTCTTTATTGGCCAAGTGTGGCCATGACTTGTTAGATTATTTATAATGATAGTATATTCATTTTAACAATGAATTAAAGATATATGAATAGAATAATTTATAAAATTTAAAAGGCAACAAACCTTTATTTTACAAAAAGGAATAAACTAAAATGTATTTTATTTTTTCTTTCACTTAACATATTTTTCAAAATATTCAGTAGGTAATATAACAATTCAAAAGAATATTTTAGTTCAAATTCTAAGAGATGCACATATGGTTAAGGGTTCAATGTTAGACCATTTTCAAAGTTGAAGATAAATCTCGCTGAACTTAATTTTAGTGAGATGCAGAATTATAGAATTGTAAGAGGCAATATTGCCCTTTGCCTCTATCCTCATAGAAACAAACAGCATTCCCAATAGAAGGCCATTGTTTCTTGAATGGTTCTCTCTGGTTAAGTGGTTTATGCTGAAATGAAGACTCTTCTTCCCAAATACTCAATCAAAATGAACATTCCTGCAACTTAAATATATATTTTATATAGAATACAGAATAAAGGAGAACAGATTGTGACCTTCTTTTGATAACTTTTCAGGTGTTGCATAGAACTATAGTATCAGAAAAGGGACCTTGGAGCTTGTAGTGAATAGGTAATCCCACATTCATTGAGGAGAGCATGGCAAACCTTTCTCTTCTTCATTCAACCAGGCAACCAAACATAGCTATGAAAGCCACATCTCTTTTGCAAGCTGGTGAGGAGGCTTGGTCAAAGTATTTCCTTTCTCCAGGAAGATAGGCAGTGCCAGTGGAAAAGTTGCCACAATTAGAAACTGCAACATGCACCTGAGCAGGAAATAGGCATGGCCAAGGTCATAGCCAGGAGGATCACCTACAAGTATTGTACTTTTCCTCCGGGCATCTCCCTGCTCAGCACAGGATCCACTAAAAGCCCTATTTTACCCTGAGCGTACCTTGAAATAATTGCGTAAGAGTTGAAAAAAAAATGAAAACTTCACAACACAATTCACTTCTCACCTACACAATCATATTTTACAACATTTACAACAAAATGCTTTGATAGCAACTGATAGCAATATTGTGCAGTAACTAAAGTTCAAAAAGCATTTTTACCTCAATGACAAAGAGAAAGGATACTCTGAAGCATTTTTAATAAATGGCCATTCACTTTGTGTTTGCAAACCTGGTTAAAGAGAATTCACAACTTCAAGTGGCAGCATGTTCTACTCACCAACAGCCAGAAATTTCCTCTCACATTCTAGCCTTTACCTTGTCCTTTGCACTTTTTACTAAAAGGTTTTGCTTCTATTCTTTTCTTCTTATATAATCACTCCCACTGTATTACAACATTTCATAATATTTAAAGAATGCTATCATATTCCACATCAGTCTTATCTGACTGACTCTACTGAATGCCTTTGATTTTATTTCATAGGAATTTATTTCTGAATAAAACTACTATTATTAGTATTAGTATCCTACTATTAGGGTTAAGGATGAGATTTTTCCATCTACTGGTGTCGTTGGAAAACCCGACAAATTCTCAATAGAAACATACACTGTATGACGGATCTACTCTTGCCCGACAAATGCTAACTTCTGAGAACTGTAGGCCACAAAGCACCAGATATATGGTAAGCTGTTAATGATCAGAATATATTCTGGTTCAGCCAAGGGGTAGCAGCAGTTATGCACATACTGTTTCAGTAACTGAAAACAAGGCTAATTTAAAATGTTTATATATTACTTTCTCTAAGAAATAGTAATTTAAGTAATAGAATCTAATTAAAAAAATCTATGGGAATGCCAATCATTAAATATAGCGAGCACTATGAAAAATTGGTAACTAGTAATCAGGTGTCTGCAGAGGCAAGGGAGGGAAATTGATCAGTATGGTGCCATTGTGATGCAAATCATGCCTCCTTTATATATCTATCACGGCATTATTTACATATATAAAGAGGTTAAACCTACATTAAGATGGTGTGAAACTACTTTTATCATATTGCCAAAAGTAATGGAGCTTGCAAATATAAATATAAACAATACAAAATTGTAAATCTATTTAATATGTATTATTCTAGTATGTTATTCATAAGAATTCTGAGGATCCATTGATTTTTTTAGCCCCAAGCTAGTTTAGCACAATTGTACAAAAAATTGAAAAGCATGGCATGCTGAAAGATAAGAATTAGGTTGTTAAATTAATTATCTGCACAGACAATCCTTAATGACTGAGAAACTCCATTGAAAAGATTCTGGTTTTTATTGACAAAAATTGATATATACAATTCTTATTTATATATTGTTAACATATATTACCATTTAAGTAGAATCCTAGTTATTTCAGTCTTGCAAATTTAGAATGAACTGGAACCAACTGTAGCATTCAAAAGGATCATTTATTTGCTGGTTTGTACAGTATTTGGGGCCAGCAAGTAAACAAATAGAACACAGTTTAATATAATATGTAAATAGAACCATACATTTTTGAAACTATTTCCTATTTGGGAAAAAACCCTCTTGTATTGAGTTGTACAAGTAATTCTCAATTTTCTAACAATGATAGTGAGTCTAATGGGTGTATTGTCCAGTTGTTTGCATTTAAAATATATTTGGAATGTCAGCAATATTTAGGCATTACCAGTTGGATTATGATTATTAAACTTTCTTTGGCATATTAACTTTTAAAATGCATTTTTCCTAAACTAAAGATGAAGACTTGTTTTTATTTATCACTTGCAAATTTGATTTTTCCATTTGGATCTTTAATCTTAAGAAATATATGGATTCACAATCCTAACATTAATAAGGATTTCCTGCAATCAACAAAAGAGGAAAAGACAGTCAATGCACACTCTTGAAAAAAAAATCCCACAACTGTAGGATAAAAGCAAAGGAACAGCTTTTCTTTCAACAGCTTATTTCATTACATTTAATCCTTTCTGTAGAGAACATCCAATCACTTATGCCATAGACAAGCATATGGAGCTGCTTAGAACATAGTCATATTGATAAAGCAAGTACAAATATCAGCTACTGATATTACGTTTTTACTGCTTTAATCAGCATTTTGCTGATTCTGTCATCCATTCTAGCTATATCTACAGTCATGGCTATTCATTTTGTCCTCATTCTCACTTTTGCCTAAATGATTTATGTTAAAGATGTTGACACATAGAGCAGACTTAGGGGAAGTTTTTGCTACTAGAAATGTCAGCCAGATATCTGCTCAATGGTTATGACAAAGTGCTTCCTTCCACACAACAGGAAGTACTTCACCAGCTGTCAACTGTAACAAAAAGCATCAAAAAGAATGGTAAAAGGGGGGGGGTATGAGAGAGTTTCATGGACTGAAAAATATGTCAGCCTATAGTTTGGTAGTACAGCATATAATTTATATCCAGAAGATCCTAGGCTCAAGCTTTTATTTTTCCAACTTTAAAAGAAAGTCTGAAAAAGAAGATCTGGGAAATATCCTTGTCAGAAAAATGCATCCAGATCTGCTTCTTTTCTTCGAAGGATGTTTTGTTCAGGTCGGAAAAAAATAAAATAGATAAAGTAAAGTTCAATAAAGTTCAATACAAAAAGCAATTTTTTTTAAAAAAAATACCACTATATAAAACCCACCTCTTTCAAAGATTTTTGAAACTCAAACTGCAATCATATTCTGTTTGAGAATAAACCCTTTTGAATTCAATTTGATTTAATCCTATGCACATTTATCTGAAAGTAAGCTACATTTTTCACAATTGCACCTCTGTCTGAATAGACAACTTAGATTTGTTCTGTGAATTTTCACAGAATGACAAAAGTTGTACTCCATCATCCATCATAGGTTTTTAGTAACAAAAATCAATTGAATGTAGAGTAGGTACAGTATCATTAATTTGTTTTAAAATGCAGTACATGAGAAGATGTATTTTGAATACTACAGTGTTAAGGATTCTAAGTCTATAATAAAAGATTTGGGTGGACCCCATAACCCAACACAATTTTGGTTATGACATATTTATTAATTTAAATTATGGAAACCTGTTACAGTGATAAAGATGTAAATAAATGAAAAAGTAACACGAAACATGATTTATTTACCATAATAAAGATTTAATTTCTATAGGACTCCCTATTTAATCAAAACAGAATAGAATTTTTATTTTTTCAAATAAAAATTCAAGTGCTAAAATATATTGTAGCTAAGTTATATTTCCAATGAAACCAGGACCAACTTCATATTTCTATTTTTATCAACAATATCTAGTTAATAAAAATCCAATTTTGCAATTTATTTCATTTTATAACAGGCAATTATATAGTGGCAGCTCAGATGTGGATTAAAGAAATCACTTAGTAATGGATATACCACATTGCTTTACTGTAGATGAGTTCCTTTACCACATTTCTTACTACTCAATTAGCTTTTATGATAGTTTAATATCTTGGTTAAACAGCTTTACATTTAACTTATCCAGTTGCCATTAGCAAAAAAATAATTCTATACAAATGAAAAAGCAGACTACTCAGATCCTTTTGGTTTATATCAAAATCTGATATATCAGAGTTACAGTACACAAAGCTCCAAAAATAATTCAAAGCTAAGCATGATCTTCAGCCTACAATAAGTTGTATTTTCGTGCCTTATATACTAATAACTGAAATCCAGTGAAAGCTTATAACTTCATTCAAAGTAGGCTGCTAAGATGTCAATAACTTGCATTCCCATGCTGGCAGTTAGCGGAAAAATGTAGGGTACCAGACTCTTTTTTGGTAACTGCTTTCTGCCAAAAAATTAATTTTACCTGTTTTGTGAGATGAAAAGTATCTGTAGCAAAGGCAGCCAGTAGTCAGTAAGTTTTCCCAATCTGGATATGTTATTGTCTTCCAAGTATAATTCTCTTAGCAAAACATGATTTTCCAACTTGGGGAACTAAATATAAATTAGTAATTAATAAAAAAATGCAAGAGTAGCTGAATATTTTTCCTCCATAAATAATCTTTATGTACTAATAGTTACTAGGGCAGTAATCCTAAATACTATTACAGCAAAAAGCTATCAAATTCATAATTTTGATTAAGTCTCTAATATAACGATGTGAGGAAATGGGAATGTATTCCATTATAATACCATTGTACTACTTACATCAAATTCCAGAGAACAGTTAAGTTGATAATCAGAAGCATAATTTAGAGACATTTTAAAGTTTAAGCATGATGCAAGAACTAAATTTACTGAATCACTTCTATACAAAAGCTGAAATTCCTTCTCTCCAAGATACAAATTTCCAGCTACTACACATAGGAGAATATTCCTTATCTTCAAATATTTGCCACGTTCATAACTTTTTCAGTTATCTGATATGCTTTTGACACTTAATTGAAAACAGAAATTGTATTTTAATTATACTGAAGAGCATGTAAGAACATTATCATATTGGCAATTTGTTATTTAGGCTTCTTTTTGCTTGCTGTGAAATTCATGACATACTCAAAACATGTATTTTAAAAAGTCAGTAAGTACTTCTGGCAACAGTAGCTAGTGAAAGGATAATTCACATACTGTGCACCTATTTGTGTTTCTCTTTATAGATTTATGTCACTGTGTCTGTAATATATATCTGTCCTCAATTCTTTTTACTCACATGTCTGCTTACATCATTACATCAACAAATACAGATATTCACTCATACTTTTAACAGTGCTGCTGTAATATAAATCACAAGATAAAATGGAATTCTAAACTATATATTCCTTTTGAAGTAAAATATGAAATGTTACTTGAAAAATGAAATTGTACAAATCCTTTCCCAGACAATAAAATACCCTCAATTATTTTTTTAAAAATGTGTCCTCTTTTCTGAACAAGGGGTTTATCTAAAATGAAATTTATTATCCAAAAATAAAGAGTGCTTATTGACAGGGTATTATTGGATTTACTCCTATACCCATTTTTTTAATTATTTAGTTTTACCGTATAACATCAAGTGTTTACCTCATTGAGATTATTTCCTTGTAACTTCAGAATCTGGAGAAGACCACAGTTTTCAATGCCTTCAATATGAGTGAGATGATTAAAGGAGCAATCTAGGTATAGCAGAGTTGGAGTAGCAGAGAGCCCTTTTGTACTGATCAATTGATTGTGATCCACAGCCAGTCGCTGGAGTTTTTTCAACGTCTCCAAGCCTCCTAAAAACAAAAAATCATATTGTATAACATATGGAAATTAATTGTATTTGATTAATTTATTCATAATGGTATACTATTTGGTTTTAATATTTTTTATAAAATATGCTTATAAAATAAAATACTCTTTCATACTATGATTATTATTCAGATTGTCTTGAAACCAGAAATATTAGCTTAGTACCTGCACACAATATATTTCATTTTCTATTTTTGAAATTATGTACCATTATATTATTCATGAAAAACAAATGCATTTCTTTAGAATTTATGTTTTGTCGCTCAACGAATTCTTATTCCACATTTCATGATTAAAACTTACCCAAACTGACAACAGTAAAGAATATCAGTTTGATTTTTGTTATCTGTACTTTGTCTGCATAAACCCTCCAGACAGGTACATCCTAATCATATTAGACTTGATGACTGAGCCTGACTACATGGGAAGAAATCTACCACACAGTCATTATATCACAAAACAATATAATGTATAGAACAAAAGGCATTTTATAATGGATGCTGAATGCTGAACAAAGAAAGAAGAAAAAACATTAAATGTTAATACAATAATAGTTAATATGTATTATTATCTAAGCATGTGCTGTAAAAATTACAAGGACTTTTCTTAATAGAGGAAAATATATATAAATATATATTTTAATCTTGACCACTTTACTTATGAGGAAATAATTTTAGATGTGCTTCTGATTTTATCCCCCAAAATTGCACTTATCTTGTTGAATTGTCTGAAATGAAAATAGCTTCAGAAGCTAACCAACACCACCTAGTGGATTCATAAAATACAACAATAAAACAAAAATAATCATTTAGATTCGGTTTAATGATTTCATCTGAACTTCCAGTTTGAAACAAAAATGGAAATACAAATGCACATACGCACACTTCCTGAGATGATATCACAACAAATACCTTCTTTCTATTCTAACATATTGGTTTGGATTTCTACACAAAATAGATACTCCTCAAAATACTCATTATGAAGATCAAACTATTATACATTATTGCAAATAATTAATAAAAGACATGGGAAACAAACTTTTCATTTTCCCCCAACACAAAATAAATTTGCCTTTAAAAATCATTAAACGGGGCTATTCTGCTATGTTACATTTGTTTTCTGTAACAAACAGCACAGAGAGCCTTTTGGGTGGATCTTCAGAAGGAAAATCTTGATCATCTTTGGTACTGATGAAAATCAGCTGATAAAATGTTATTTTGAAGATATTCAGTACTCTCACATCTATGGTATTTTTAAAAAATAATTCATTTGAAGTGCAGTTGATAGATTCATCACATTTCTTTAGAAATCTTTTAGAACAAATAGGTTTCTTAACAAACACATTTTTATCACTTTTCTAATGTCCTCTCATTAGTTTCACAGGATTTAGAAATAAAAGAAACACTAAAATTAGTTAGGGAATAAGATATTATTAAGCATTCAGAATTTCCAGTACTGTATAACTTTGGGAAATTCTATTGGATTTAGACATGAAAGAAGTGGATGTGATTCCATGTTTTCAAAATAATCAATATATTTATGTGTAACATGAAATGTAAGTCACACAGCCTACCAATCAGACCTCTTCAAAGCAGCTGATGATGAAGGCAGAAAAGCAGAAACAAATTGGTTTTCTTCAAAATCTACTTTCTTAGTCAGACTCTTCTCATGTATAAGCATAGTGTTTTCATTATATATACAGACAGGACAAGAGGCTTTTACACTGTTGGCTGTGCAGGCTTCATAGCCAAGACACATTAATTTGTATTATGCCATTTTTGTATTAACCTTTCAGATACTCTACCTAAGGAAACCTATCCAAAACAAGAAATCCCTTAGAGCAGAACTGGCACTGAAGACAGATTGAATGTAGATTCCATCATTTCTCTTGGTCCATGTTGTTCATTTACTTTGGATTTCTGATTTTTGACATTTAATGAACACCAACATTCATTAGAAACTTGTGGCTACTAAAATGATGCCATTTTAACATGAATTGACCGTTTAAAATTTTTAAATGTAAAGCATCTGTCAAGATTAATATACCCACTAAAGTCTAGATTTTTTAATAACCATTGAACTCTATAGTCTTTCATATACTACAAAATTTTTTCTCATATAAAAAGGTTTTTTTAGAGATACATTCAGATCTCATATTTGTCTAGCTTATTGCTTGTATTCTTTATAATCAGAATGTATTTGTGTTAAATATTCTTATGGTTGTATAATGTTGGGAAATCAGAGTTATAGCTATGAGGTGGGTGGCCATATAAATAATTTAAATAAATAATTAAACACATTGTTATAAATTTTCAACCTGAATTGTGTGAGCATTCCTGTGCAAGGTAAAAAGTTCCTTTACTGCTTATGAGACATTACACCCTTTATTATTGTTGTTCGAGTTGAATTTAACTTAAAAATAGTGCAATTAAAGATTAATGCAAAGATTAGCATGTATAAAGCAAAACAAAAACTGTTTGTTGATTGTTTGAGACACAAAATCATACTTTAAAATAAAAGATAGACACTGGGGCATAATGTCCATTTTGAAACATAGCTAAGTATCTTAAAAGATTAAACCAAAATAAGATGGCACGCATCAAGAAAAAATGTTACACTTATGCATGTTAGGTTTGTTCTATTTGGTGTTTGACATGAGATGTGAATGCTTTTCCTGAATTTTATATCTGTTGCATATCTGTTCAATTTATCTGTGGAGTTTTTATTTTATTTTTGTGGGATGATACAGATAGTATCCCAATTGTGACTGATTATACAGTATCTACATTGACAGATTTATACTAACAATTCAGATATAGAGGTTGTTGTCGATTTACAACCATTCACTTAGTGATCATGCAAAGTTACAATGGTGCTGAAAAAGCGACTTATGAACGGTTTTCAGACTAACATACTGCAGAATCCCCATGGTCACATGTTCAAAATTTGGGCAGTTTACAATTGGCATATATTTATTTACAACAGTTCCACTGTCCCAGGGTCATGTGATCACAATTTGCAACCTTCCATCAAGCAAAGTCGGGGGGGGGGGGGAGGAAGCCTGACGATTTATTTAACGATTGCAATGATTTGCTTAACAACTATGGCAAAATGATCGCAAAATGGGGCACAATTCACTTAACAATTCTCTTGTTTAGCAATGGAAATTTTGGGCTCCATTGTGGTCATAAGCCAAGGACTTTTTAGATTTAGTATTCTATATGATCAAAAAGGACTCAAAGCTGGAATCAGATATTTTCAATAGTTGTCATTAAAGTCCCAAACATGCAGATTGTATGAGACCCTACATTACCTAGTGGTAGGGAACAAAAACATTACAGAAAGACAGGAATGGGTAGGACAGGAATTACTTTCAGTCAATGCCACAGTCATTAGAGGTCAGGCAGCATATAAGTTTAAATAATAATATTTATCTATCAGAGGTCCTCGGGGAGGACTCAGTAGATAAATAAAAATGCCAAATCCAGTCTACATATCTGGATACCTATGCAATCAACCATAATAATAAAGTAATTCCTTCTTCCTCCTCTTTCTCTTCCTCCTCCCCTTCCTCCTCCTCCTCCTCGTCGTCCACCACCACCACCACCACCACCACCACTTCCTCCTTCTCCTTGAATATTTAAGACAGTTGATGTGAATATGTGAATGGACTAGTTATGTCAAGGGTGTCAAACTGGTGACCCATGGGCTGGATGTTTAACACACAGGCCACACCCACCCCAGCTCTGTGAAGGGGAAAACATCGCAATACGTCATGTGACGGCAATGTGACATGGCAAGTTTGACACCCATGAGTTATGTGACCACCCTGAAAACTATTGTTTCTTTAACTATATCGTCTCTGGATCTTTTCCATATTGTATTGATGAATAGCACACAATAATTGAAGAAGATATTTGCTAGCTAATTCTTAAAAAAACCTTATTGCAACATAAGTGTGCAACTGCTTGGCTTCAAATGCTGATGATTTCAGCTAGTATATTTCCTGATCATTAGTCAAGCTGGATGGGAATATTGTAAGAAGAATTCTACCATCTGAAGGATCATAAGATGCCCAGTAGATAATACATTCAGTCCCATTTAAAATCTAAATTGGTCCATAGGTATATACTCTAAAGAAAGAACAGAGCAGAACAGAATAACAGGGTTGGAAGGGACCTTGGAGGTCTTCTAGTTCAACTCCCTGCTCAGGCAGGAAACCCTATACCATCTTAGACAAATGGTTGTCCAATGTCTTCTTAAAAACTTCCAATATTTGAGCACCCATAACTTCTGGAGGAAATTTTTCCTCTGATTAATTGTTCTAACTGTCAGGAAATTTTTCCTTAGTTCTAGGATGCTTCCCTCCTTGTTTAAATAGATATCAGATAATATATTAAATAGTAATAATAGTCTGTAGCTATGAACAAACTAATTTCCATATTCTGTTTTCCTTTAACAGATCTTATAAACAAAATCTACTATGTTTATTAAGCTACCAAACATATGGACTACATCCAAAATCTATGTGGCAGAATAGAGATCCTCTACCAAAACTACTTAGATTTCCTGTAATATTACATGCAAACCTTTCTTCCTTCATCATAATAAATTATTAATTTGGAGAAATTCATGACCAAACTTGAGAACTCAGTATCATTAAATCAATCCTACCTATTCAATGTATATGTCTTTTAAAAAAGATATACTACAGAATATACAGATTTCAGGAAATAGTAGGAATTAATTTTTCCTAAAACAGAAAATATTTTATTATTTACATGAATTAATATGCTAAAGGTTGCAGCTGTATTATTTATAATTAGTATCTTACCAATGCGAGTTATTTTATTATAGGAAAGTTCAAGATTCAAGAGATTACTGCAGCCATATAAACCATGAAGTGATGAAATATTATTTTTGTTCAGAATTAGAATGCAGAGATTTTCTAGATTCTCACAATTAATCATCTGAATGTTGTTCTCCTATTGGGGGAGGGGGGAACAAAGCAAAACAAAGACATAAAAACAGACTGATTTTTTCCTTTGAATTTCAAGATTAAAAAAAACGCATTCTGTTTTAATCCCATGTGCATATGCTCAGAATTAAATCTCATTAAGTATAATTTATTTATATATTATAAATATATACTTAATTTCCATATCATATTTTGTCAGCTGGTTTGATACTTGGAATTGACTCCCACTTGAATAACATTTAGAATTAGGATGAGAGTTTCTAATTTATAATGAAAAAAATGAAATGCCATTAAAATCAGGCTGATTATAGTAATAGTCTTAAAGTAATATTTAGGTACAGTAGTATGTCATTCAGAACTGCATTACTTTCTTGTTAAACATTCATCTCAAATTAGAACACTCATGCAAACTTATCTAAGTTTCCAGCCATAATGTTCACATTTCAAATGTATTTAAATATATTCAAATATTGATTGCTGCAGGCTTTAATGTATCAAAATATCTGGACAAGTACTATTGTTTTATTGTGCAACTGTGAGTCCTTTCTCAAATATTTATGGGGAAAATGCTATGAATTATAGGACGATTACATTTTAAATGCTTCATAAAATTCTTCTCACATCTGATCATTTTAAGCTATAAAAATTACACTATTTCCATTACCCCAACATTTAATATGTATCTGTAGTTTTCAAACAATAAGTAATAAAACATAAAATCAAAGTAGCATATAGAGCATGGCTTTTAGCATTCTTTCTATCCTCTTAGTAATATCTTTGCTCTATGTCATGTCACTGGGAGGAAGTGACATGACACAGAAATTGCTACATTTTGAGTCACTGTCCGATTGTTTTTTTTAATAGGAATGAAGGAATAGAGGAATCATCTGGATTATTTCTTTCTCCGCTGCCTACAATTTAATCCATTCTTTTTCCATCTGAAAAAGAAACCTCATCCAAGATGTAATTCACTAGACACTCTGACAGCATTCTCTAGAGCCATAGACTGATTCAATTCAGCATCCAGTGCATTTGAAAACTTCAAACTGGTAGAAGAAATCATAGTCACATTCCACTTTTGTTCCCAGCAGCCAGTATTTTAAGGCATGTTGCAATAAACATTACTGATTTGTTTCAGTTCAGACAACAAGAATAATTTAATGATAGGAGGCAGGATGTAAAGTCATGTTTACATAAATCCCCCTTTTGGGCTGAAGTATTAATGTTTTAAATAAAGATTCTCACAGTAAGCTTGGGAACATTTCTGGTTTGTTATCACCAAAATTACATAGAACATTATTCTCCAGTTCAGGGGAAATGATTTGGATAGAGGAAGAGAAAGCATGATGTCACAGCTAATTCTCAGTTTCTAAGTTTAATAAAAAAGTGAGCCTTGTAATCTTTTCAAACATTGAGAAAAATGGGAGATCTGCACACTATATAGCATTACAGCTTCTCAAATTATGCATATTTGAAAGCATGCTTTAAAATATAATTGCTGGGAATATTAGTAGTTATATTCATAAATACTACCAAATTTCATTTTACTCGGAAACCATTTAGAGATGATAATTCTCTACATGGATTTAAAGTACCCCAAAGTTGTTCATGGCTGCCTTTTCTAATTTTTATTTGATACTGAGGAATGTATTAAATTGCTAAATTGATACAATCTTTGAACATTATTATTCATCTTTATGCAGCTTATAAAACTCTTTTATTTCTTTTCACCCCTTTCTTGCTCTTCTTTTCTGATTTTTCTTCTTTTTCTTGGATGCACTTTTAAATATATATCAAAATGAAACAAAAATATAAAAAATTAATTCTAATTCAGTTACAGTCTGCAAACATCACATTTACCTCTCAATCACTATAGTTGGAAGAGATGGTTACAACTTAAAATAGTTCACTTCTACATATGGTAAAATACACGGTACCTCTACATCTATGTATTTCAAATCCTTGCAGTTGCTGAGTCCTTCCAAGGCAAGTAATCCACAGCGTTTAAGGCTCAAGAACTGAAGCCTTGCACATTGTGATAAAGTGGACAGGCTGCAACCAGGCAAATCTTGAAAGTTAACCGTGGTCACCTATATGTATCCAATAAGAAATAAATACATTTTGATAACATTTGAATTGGACAGCAATAAAAATGGCAATTCTACATAGCTGAACATTTTTTTTTTAACAAACAGCTAGGAAAAATTCAAAACCGTACTTGTGGAAAAATTATTTCTAATCTTGATCAAGCAGACAATACTATTCAAAACACATGAAATTACATTTATACCAAGCCAGTTGCCTGCCTAACTGAATATTACCCACTCCTGAGTAGTGAAATCTATCTTTAATCACTAATTCAAGCACTCATTTCTACACGGTTAATGATATATTCCTATGAAAGCATGCTGCTTGCCAGCTTAGGTTATTCAGCAATCAAATAGGATTCTGATCCCACTTACTGAAAACTGTTTTTTACTGAGTGCAAGAATTTCTCCTGGACATTAAATGGGGGATTGTGGGCCTTCCTGCAGATTAAAATGTGCATAACTTTCAGGTAACAACTAGAACTTTTAAAAGTCACTATACATAAATACTAACAGTATTTACAGGGCATTGGATAGATTTCTAGCATTGATTTACCTGTTGTAGAGAACTCCAAGGGCCTGCCTGAATTATCATAGTAGCACTCAATGGAGGCATCTGGTCAAATGAGCATTTCCGTGGTTTGCTTCTTTCAACCATTTTCTTTGCCTGGTGTTCCTGATAAACTCTGGACCAAGATTTATATGTTTTCATCCAAGCTAGTCTTTTAGCTTCAACAAAATCAGATACAAGTGGTTGTTCAAATAAATTCTTCGAGTTATCACCTTTGGCCCATTGATTATTAATCTCCTCATGAATTTCTTTTGGAGCAAAATCTATTTTACTATTTTCCGAAGCAGAAGATCTGGCTATTTTTCCAGTGTCCCCAGAATCTAACTGAACATGAAGGTAGTGAATGATACTTTCTTGATTACCGGTAACTATTGCACTGGTTTCAAAACTAAGAACATTTGTATTGCTATCTTGCTGACATTCTGCAGTTTCTAAAGATTTTTTTACATTATTCTCCATTGATTCTTCATTATTTATCTCAATATGTTCTTGTCTTCCTGATTTTAACTCTTCATCTTTACTTCTCTCAATATCATTCCATAATTTATCATTCTTTAGTTCATGCATTTCTTGTTCATTTTGTTCGTTTTGGTCTGGTGTTTGTTTTAAATATTTCTTTTCCATAATTAGAATTTTTGGGTCACTATTATCTTCTTGTTCTTTTAACTTTTTAGTTTCTTTTTCTTTATTTGTTATGTCTAAAGCTTTATTTATACTTGATGGTTCTAGTATTATTGCAGCTCTCCTTTCCTTTTTGACATTTACATTTTCAAAAGTTTTACTTTCCTCTTCTGGTTCTATTTTGTTAGCTGCATTTTCAAGTTCATCTCCTTTCTGGATTCTTTCACTTGTGTTCTCAACTTCCTTTTCTATTTCTTGCTCTTTCTTAGTTGTTTGTTCTGTATCTTCAGTTATATCTAGAGATTCAGTATTCTTTGTTGTCATAAATTCTACTTTGTTTTTTTCTTCATTTTTCAATTCTCCAATAATTAAATCTCGCTGAAGTCGCACAATTTCTTTCTTTTTTTCATATTCTTCATGTCTTCTCATCTTCTCCTCATTTTCTTTCTTCTCTTTCTCCTCTCTCCTCTTTTTTTCTTCCTTCTTTTCTTTCATTTTTTCTAAAGCCCTCCTTTTCCATCTTTCCTCCTTTTCTTTCATTTCCTTTTCCATTATTTCTTTCATTTCTCTTTTCTTTTCTCGTTCTTCTCTCTTTTTTTTCAAGACAGGACCAAATCTTTTGTTCACCACAAAAGCTCTAAATGTTGTCTGAATTTTTATAGCTGCATTATTCTGCTGTTCCACCAATTGTTGTCTTTCTTTTGCTTTCTGTTCTTCAAAGGCTTTTTTTTCTTCTTCTATTTGTGTGTGTAATTTCATAATGAATTCCTGTATTCCAACAAGACAAGATGCTTTTATAAGAAATATCACAGCTATAAACTGGATTTCTACACATCAACACTATTTCTATGATGAATTTACATATCTGCAAATCTCATTAGATTCTTGAAGATAAATTTTTTTAGAGTTTTCTATGTATTTCATATGGACACATTACTTTCTGTTTATATTCCAAGTTTGCCATTTATATTCTAATATTATATTGCATTCTTGACTTTCCACTCGACATTCCTCTGGAATGGTGCTCCTCCCAAGATCAAACAGCCCCCAACATGGTGGTGTTTCAAAGAGGCCTGAAGTCCTGGCTCCTTACCCAAGCCATTGGTGATTGAAGCCTACTTTTAACTTGGGTTGTTTTCTCATTTCTACCCAGTTTGTTATTCTGCTATTTCTCTCCCACCTTTGGTTTCTTGTAATTTTTATGATGAGATTTGTAAACCACCTAGAGTCAATAGGAGTTGGGCAGCATATAAACTTAATTAATGATAAAAAATAGTCAAAATGTATAACTGGGCCAATACTATTTCTAAAAAAACAAATCATTCTTGATATTAGGTGGATTTTATCAGCTTCTTAGTTATTTTATGGTATAAAGGAAACTGTGGCAAATGATCAGCATTTGTTTTAACTTTATGTTCTTGCCTCTTCCCTATTCTGTACTGATTATTTGGATTTGAACTCTTCTCTGGTTTTTGATTTAATGGAATTACTAAAAGAAATCCTATTTAGCCTTGACCTTACCTTTTTAAATTCAGCCAAATTTTTCATGGAGAAGGGGAGAGTAGCAGCATGATTTTTTAAAAAAATTACATTCAGGCTAACCAAACAGTCACTGATACAGCTTCTCCAAGACTATCATGCCACATGTTGAAAATGCATAAAATTGTAACATTAAGAATAATTGGTATGGTATAGAGGTTTATTTTCAGGTGAAAAAAGAAGCAGCTCCATATTTTTATAAAAGTGAAAATGGCACATCTTTTTTCAAATACTGAAATATTATTTAAATATTTTAGGCTTTCACATTATAACCAAAAAGATTTGGAGAAAAGGATACTGATGTGGACACTCTTTTTCTAATATGTTCTGATTCATACCCTTGAATTTTCAGTTCATCATCAAACCATCATACCTACAAATCAGATTCTACATTGAATTTGAAATTCTTATTGCCATTTACCCTATGATTTGCAGAAACCAGTTTACTATATTCTTATAATAGTAAACCACAATTTGCTGAGAATCATACAAATAGCAAAGAAAGGAAGTGTGCAAGGAAGGTGGAGTCTATACGTTCATTATATGATTTAATATACCAAATCATTCAAAGTTTGATTTTAGCACAACCTATAAGCTAAACCATAAAGATTGTAGGGATGCATGTCCCATATAAGTAGTTGGGAACATTCCTGAATCTACATTACCTCATGTTCTTTCAGTTGTTCTTTCCAAGTCTGCTCTTCCTTCAGCACTTCCTCTTCCATCACAGTCTGTTGTTTCTGTACAGAGTATAGACTTTTGTTGTCATTATTTAAATTAATATTGGATTTTAATTATTCTTTGGAATCAATACATTATGCGGTCCCACTACAGTGGAATATTTTTATTTCCATTGATTTCAAGAGAAGAAAAATAACATTTCCTCTTTTCCATACCAAAATCATATTGAAATATCAGAATTATATTTAGTGTATGTATGTATGTATGTATGTATGTATGTATGTGTGTGTGTGTGTGTGTATGTATGTATGTGTGTATGTGTGTGTGTGTATATATATATATATATGTGTATGTATATATATATATATATATATATGTGTATGTGTATGTATATATATATATGTATGTGTATGTGTATGTGTATGTGTATGTGTATGTGTA